ACACGTAACGGATTCATCAAGCGATAAACTTATCAGATAGAAAGAAAATCAATCCCATTTTCTGTATAGAAATCACTGCTTTGAGATCTTATTTTAGTATAGTATGATCAAATAGTTTATTTTTTAATTACGTCGCGTTAGAGTATATGTATAGTCGCTTTGGTGTTAAATGAGTAAAGTTTCCTTATAATAATTAACTAATCTGTGGTAATTTAGACGTACATACTTGATAACAGCTACGCCCACATTTATCTACCAAAGAGTAGGTAATCATTCGGTGGGTTTCGTCACATGCGGAATAGGTCAGGGACGTTGTAATTTTATCGCATCAGCTGTTTGTCCCTCGCACTACAATACGACCGACTCTGATAAGCTGCCTCTATTGTACCCGCTGCATTTTTATATAAGCGCCTGTATAGCGTAAGACTGGAGGCATTCACCGAGCGGGGGATGCCTTCAGATAATAAATAACGAGTGCAACGATTGCGACCGCCACCCGACTTGGGGATAAAAGGGGGTCTCAGGGAGGGACCGACCATTTTAATGTCCCGACGCCAGACTTTATATTAAACATTCGACCTTGACAGTGGCCTACATCGACACCGGGACACGCACACACGCCCATTTCTCTCATCACGAAAAGAAATGCTCATTCAGAGTTCGTCACTTGTCTGCTATAAATAATATTGTCACGTGTTTGGTTACGGCGCCGCATGCCGCTAGGTATCTCGGTTATTTTTTATCTTTTGAATATCATCTGCAAGTTAAAAAGGTCAATGTCCACGGTATTGTCTGTCTAATTAATGATAACGTTTACTTTTCATATGTCGATAAAAGTATTAATGAAAACAAAACCGTCAATATACCTATTTCCAAGTAAAGTAAAAATTTGGAGCTTGCTACAACCCAATAGCTTGGTTCTACCAAGTTGTATATTTTATTAAAACAACTGCAAATTTATATACCAATTATCCTGATCTGGGTTATAATCATTTATGGTAACAATTCACCTTAAAATTCCGAAGAATTTTATTCTCTACAGAACCGAATGACGCACACATATTAACATAAAGTAATTAACGTTGTGTTAAATAAAACCAAATATAATTCAACGCGCTTTAATCAAAGATAATTAGTTAAAGTTTTCACCAAGCGTAAAATTTATGAGGCGATCTCTATGATGGAGCACCTATAGTTCCCCTAAATGTAAACTACTACAATAACAAGCTAAATTAAATTTATCGCCACCATGCCTTCTTCGTTCACACCGCCTCTAGAAAATTCTCGGTACCTAGATAAATTGTGCAAACCGGTGTTATCCACCCTTTTTTGTAATTTGAATACTATGTTAGAAATAGACTTGAAGTAAAATCTAATATATAAAATTCTCGTGTATTTTACACGACTCCCATACTCCTCCAAACGGCTCGACCGATTCTTATGAATTTTTTTATGCATATTCAGTAAGTATGAGAATTGGCTACTATCTATCTTTCAAAACCCTAAGGACACCCCTAATGGGGGTCCACCCCAAAAAAAAATTTTTTTTTGATAAAATTATTATTTTTTATTATGTGGCATTAAAAAATACATACAATCCTTAATTTTCACCCCTCTACGATCAACCTCTATTTTATTTTTTATTATAGTAGATAGTTATTTTTATTAAACTAAAAAATATTTCCTAGAAATAATATACATGCCAAAACAACGTTTGCCGGGTCAGCTAGTAATATCTAAATATATTATATAAGTCGTGCAATTCCAAAATTCATCTAGTCTACTTTAAAAAAAAAAAGGTTCTTTTAATATTATTTAATTTATAGTATAAATAACACTAAAATGTAAGCACCTCTGGGCGAAAATCTTAATAAAGATTAATTATTTTTAAAGTGTGTATATAATATGTTATATATAACCTACATAAATAAAATTAAAAAAGAAAGCAATTCTTTGGTAGTGGAAAAAAGTCCTATAAATTCCATTAAGGTTCTCTCGTTACAACCACAAATTTTACGGATATACAAAGGATGTACAGATTTAGAATTTGTAATACTAGATCGACTTTATGATACATTTGTGTTGCTTCTAATTGAAAATTCCAAAATGTACTAGCATTTGAATTCGCTGCTCTTGTTTGCGAATTACTTTGAAGCAAAACCGCATTTGCTTTGGTAACATTTAAGGAAATGCTAATATTATGCGTGTGTGAGTAACGTAATGTGATTATTGTAGTAATGTGGGTCAGTAACGAGAAGTATGGCAGGGTCGAGCGACGAGATGTATCGTCTTGCGTGTTCTTACGTAATTTTATTGTTTGTTAACTGTTATCTGATTTTAAGTTTTATAATCGCATCTTGTTCAAGTCCCTGTGTTTAGATTCTTCATTAACTGCATAGTTGTTTCAAAATGCTGATGCTATTCTGTACCTCGAATGCAGCGTTAGCTAGCTTAGCTAGCAGGGTTGAGTAAGTGCGTTACTCAACTCTGAGGTAGTGCGTTCGCACCCCCGGCTGTGACCAATACAATTTCTGTGTATTTTTTCTACGGTATGCACTAAGGAAAGAGCAACAACATGAGGAAATCGTCGTTTCAGAAATCGCAAGGTGACCTACCTATAAAGAAAAGGTTTAAAACTCTTAATAATATTACGGCTTAAACATTCTGTTCCTTAGTGGGTAAACGTCAGCAAATATCCTCAATAAATTATGATGGAAATTATTACTATTTTTTTCTTTATATATCTTGAAGTATTTCATAAGCTTAAAACTGCTGACTATTTGAGTAAAACTTATTACGTAATTCGATGATAACACCTTCTACAATAAAATTGTTACGCATTTTATATAAGCTAGTACGATAGGTCCAACGAAGGCGACTTGCAGGTGTTCGATGTCGTGAAACTGGTCTGGTATCCGGTCCGGGCTACCCTGAACGGCCGACAGATGGCGTCAGAGGCCCGCTTAACATTTCAAATGTAGCCTTCGCTCCACTCAGGGTCCATTTCAAGTTTAAAAACAAGTATATTCTCAAAGCTATAATATGTACAGTGAACCAAAACGTTGGTTCTTCAGACTGGTTAAAAATAAAATTCTTTTCCAAATTATTATGGTGTTTGGGCCAGACAAATTGTCTAATTAGAGCGCGCACAAAACCTTATGTAACTAATGGCAACATAATTGGATCGTAGGAATCCGATCGTAAACAAGCTCGCTAACCTACTAAAACATATTTCTTTTATTTTGCTTTGCGATCCCATCGACTCGCTCGCCCGCCACTTAACGAAACAGGTTTCTATATCAAAAATTAACGATAAATCCTCGCGCGCAGCGGCAATTCCTTTTACATACTTTATTACTTGGCTTAAAATATCGCTATTTTCCCTAAGTTTATTTAAATAGCTTTGAATTAATTTCAGACTCGAAGTCGATAAGATAGCAGATTAAGAAACAGTAAACTGGGTTGTTCTTAACTTATACGAACTTTTAGATTCAATACTTTTTTTATAATATACGCTTTAGACTTGAATCAAAGTGTGTTTTATACAAATCATATTTACTACTATAATATGAACGTATTACTAACTAAATTAGTCGGAATGGATGATCATGCAAAATCCATTACAAATCTAAGGCATCTCAGAAAGTAAAATTCAGTATAATATACATATTATAATAACCAATAAGTAATTTATGGGAAAATTTTGACGATTTTAGTTAAAAGTAACACACTATGGTAATCTAAACAGAAATATAATACTCGTTTTCGACCCACCCGAAACGTCGCTTGACGCAGATTTAAATTCTTTTATCTAAGAAAAGGGGAAAAAGAAACGGCGTTTCGGCGAAATCCTAGGTCTCTCTAGCAAGTAATAAATTAAATCAGTCACCATATCTATAAAAATAATAATGTACGTATTTATTTCTTTATAAAATTATGATTAAATGTATTGAGAGCGTATAAACAAGTGACCGTATTCCCAATAGGATATTATTGTTTGGGCCGGCCACAGTAATGAGATGCATGGCATTATACTGATACATTATAACGCGCGGCCAATCCGATCAATACTGCCCAATTAAATCCTAGCTTTCAAACTTGCTCACGCATTTGAATAAGCTAATCAGTGCATCTCTACATAACATCCATAGAATAGTAGTAAGTGAACTCGCAATAATATTCGTGTTAATCCTAACGACATATAATTTGGCTTCTTCGTTGCTTGTGTTTATTGCAATCTTGATTCTTGGTAAAAAGCTTATGACTCCTTAATAAAATTTTGTAATTTCAATAATTTATTGAATATTACCTACGTATCTAGTATATTTGCTGTACAGGTATGGCGTTGCGTGATAATGCTGTTGTAGGTATGCGGGGCATAACTTCGTGTTTGTGTGGATTGAATAAAAGTCACAATATATGATTAAAGCCATACCAGAACTAAGCTGATTTGCAATGTTTGTTACAAAAGGCTAGTGTGCACGAACAAATAACCAACTGGTCGAGTTAGACTTTAGAGTGTCGGTCGGTTCGCTGGTAGCCGGCCCCCCGCTCGGCTCGCTTGCCCTCGCTTCAATATTGCCAACTAAGCGCTTTCAGCACTAAATTTACGGTTACATTTATTTTAACAAAGACAGTTTCTGTGCTTGATATAGCGCTTTTTGATACTGTGTTTTACTTCAAGTGTTTATACACTTACCGGATATAATAGCACATCGAAATTTAAGCTTCGTTGTTGGGCTATGAAGTTGAATCTTTAGTTCAGTTTAATTATGTTCTAAATACTGTTTTCAATTAAAAATTATCTTTAAATTATTGCTAAGCCTTATTAATTTTGTAATGTATGTAAGCTATGGGAAAATATTGTGCGTTATGTTATTTTTCGTCGAGATTAACAATTTGATATAACTCTTTAAATTGACAGACTAAACATTTTACTAAATTTAAGCGTTTATATAATACTGCCAGCGCGTTTTCTCTTAAAGAGTCGCCATGCACAGCTATACATAATATGGGTCGGGCTCCAAGCAACGTGCCGTCGCAATATCAGCGGTGAAATCGCTCGTTCGCCCGCCCGCTGCGTCGCACCGCGCGCCTTGTCTGCGCCAGTCGTTGTGCGCCAACTGAAACGCGCGCACCGCTACTGCAATCGAGCGTATTTCAGTACAACCAAAGTATTCCATTTTATCCTGCTTATTCTCCTTTTCTCTAGTCGCGCCGCGTTTCGCTTTACCGTCTTCGTTATCTGTTATTTTTAATATCTTACGGGAAATCATCAGACGAAGTGAACTGTCCTCTGTGTGTGTAAGTGTAAAAGGCTCTGCGATTTAAACAGTGTACAGAAGATAATTCAAGACGGCTGTAATCATAAGGCTGCCTGCGAACACAGTAAGTATCGCCGCCGAGTCTTTAGGTCTTGAATGTAATAAAATGGGACGATTCTTATCTAGTGTTGAATTGCGACTGTGTGTGTGCCTATAAGGTCGTTCCACGACTGTGTGGGTGACATCCGACCGCTTATTTGCGTGTGTGCGTGGGCTCAATACTCGTAGATTCTATTTTGCGGCAGTGTGACTAGATGTTTGTTTTTATTATCATATGACCGATGACTGTTGGAAAGTTTGGTCTTTTCAAAATGTATAGTTAGAGCATTGTGACAATTATAATTCTATGATTATAAATTGATGTATTAAGTGATTGTCATTGAAGAGTTAAATTTTATGAATAACGACATTTAATTGAAATCTTTACATTCTTCATTCTCATCCCTCATAGGATTCACCTTTAAATTTTACAGCTTTAAGGTTTTCACACAAGCGGTCGCCGTTTGCCGTCGGTAAAATTGTAGGCGCATTCTCTCGCTTCGATTCCACTCTATGGGTATTGGGTGGGTGTGCAAATACTTGAACTATTTTATGACATTTTAATATTGGAATAATTTTGGAAATGAGTTATTTAATGTTGTTTATGTTTCAATTGTGTGTTAATTATTTTAGTTACGGAAATTTATTTATAAGCCTTAACCTATAACCTTACAAGTGGTGAACATTATTATTTCAACTTTTATTTCATTTTATGACAAATACCAGCAGTTAGAAACAATGTTAACCACAATGCTCTATGTTAGCCTAAATATTTCAAAATATTGTGTCGATAGTTAAGTTTTATATGCCAAAAGATACAGTAAAATTTGCTTGTTCTGAGTATTCCTAGATTACTATATGAGCAACGTATTGCGTTCCTTGACTTATTGACTTCTAAACCATACTGTGGCGTCCACAGTGCTTCGCCATTGCGTTCTATCCTGAGCAATGCAATTAATTGCAGGCCACATATACCTTTTGGCATTCTTCGGGCACAACTCAGCGTCGCCAGGAGAAACGTATTCACAATTACATCTCATATTTAAAAAAAAAATGTACTATCGCCTCCACGATGCACTTACAATAAACATTTGTGTAAATTTTTCGCGATGATTTTAGTACAACAGATACACAGATCTTTCTTCAGATTGAATGCAATTATGAAACGTCGCATCCAACTTGTGGAATCACTTTAGAAATTGTACCTTGTTATTATCAACGTTCAGCTCTGTTATCGGCGTGTGCGTGCTTATTGTGTTTATGAGAAACTGATTATTTAATGCGATCTCACGCTCCATATGCTCCGACGCAGAGTGTCCTAACCGACAACAATTTTGTTTAAATCGACTCTATGTAGTCGTGTTAAAATTATTGTGAGTGGAGAAAACTGGCGTATCGCACATTCTTGGGTCGGGTGGCCGTTTAAAACAAATTATACGATGTGTTACGTATAGCTATTTAGGTGGGCAGTCATTATTTATGTTCTCTAACAGTCGCCTCAGTGTGGGTTAAAATCGGAGCAGTCAGCTGATTATGCGTGTGTGTGTATGCGTTCTTCGGGAAACACCTTTTGATGACGTGTGCGAGTTCCGTTTAATTGGACAGTCACATTGTTCCCTTGAATGCGTTTTTTAGTTGTATGGTTTTGTTTTTATTCTACGCAATTCCTTGTAGATTTTCATATAACGTTCAATATTGGTACGTTGTCGAGTACTAGACCCTAAAATCAGCTGTTGTTGGTATAATTTGAGAAAGTTACACAAGTTAATATAAGTTTCGGAAAATATTACCGTATAAATGTTACATCTCTGAGTGAATAACGCTCAACATGCTGATGATCTGATCTGCGCTTGGCTTATAAAATAACATCTCCTAGATGTGGCACAGACGGGGCATACATTGTACCATTACGTGCCATGTTTCAATCCCGCTCTTATTTAAATATTTAGTTACTGATAACAAAATGTTTATGAAATCAAATATCAAACAAAAAAGGATACGAAAACAAAACACGGGTGCAGATGATTCTGTGCCATAGAATGATTGCTAAGTATACTAAGAATCGTGGTTGCATATAAGCCAAGGCCCAAGGCATTTATTTGTTATTTGAGCTTGAAACATGTCATTTGTGAAGGTATACCCAGTAATTACGGTTAGTCATTTTGCCAGCATTGCCTGACGCTCATCATTGTCGAACGATGCCGTGTTTTTTCTCCTCAAATGACAACACGCGCTCTTCGAATGATGTTTGGTTAATATGTCTTGGAATTCGCTTTGAGTTTTGGGTTTTTACAATCTTGGATATATGCTTTAAAATTTGTCTTCTACTGAAAACTTTTCAATCCAAAAGTATGCTGAATGTTGATTACTCGATAATTACATGTCGGAGCATTTTTTCCTTGTAAATTATAGTTCATAACAGCTAAATTTGTACTTATTTATACAGTGTTGTGATCAAAGTTTACGATCATTGATTCGACACTATTCTTGGAATTGAAATCGGGGAAAGTCGTTCCTCGTCCGTAGCACCTCATTCGCCGTCACAAATAAATAAACCGAGACGGGTTCAGCAATAATAATAATTCGCCGAGCCCGATCAGCTGTTTCTTCCACCGACCCGCGTAACAGGTGGCCTATAAAGACATTCAATAAACTGAACCACACTTGTCTTTACGCGAAACCTTCTATTTTACGTAAATACACACACAGATGCACGTGCCTGTGAAATCTTTTTTCATTCCGTTTTCATCTCATTCATATATTTGCCTACTTAGAATTACAGTTAATTCTCATAATCCCGTTAGTGTCGTCATTTATAAAGTTATGCTAATATTTAAATCATTACTATAAAAATAAATGGATGATTTTTATGACAATATCCACGACTATGTTAGTTATTGTGTGCTAGTTACTAGGGTTTGTGACTCTAGGGATATGAGGTCGTAGCAGTGCTAAATTACCTTTTTTGTAATGTTGACAACAATCACGTCGTTATAGTGCGACAGTAAACATGTTGATAATTATCATGAAAACATTAAAAATTATGTGAATAATTGAAATGACGCGTAGCAAATAGAATATATTAATTCACATAACTGATTTTATAGTATACACCATTACACTAAAAACTATTACGAAATACACGTGAAATTAAGTTTGTAGTTAATACAATTGGTTATGTTTATTTTTAAGTTCACACCGTTTTATAATTAAGAAGTCTTGCCGATAAATATCTGCGTGTCGAGTGTCATAAATATATGAGCCTATAATTAATGAAAACCAATATTGACTATGTAATAGTTCATTTTAACTGGTGTTAATGTACCATCTAAGTGAACCCTTTGCAAATGCATCAAACGATCCAGTAGTAGCGGAGCCGCCGAGAATTGATTGTGGTGTTCACTTGGTCCGCACAGAGAAATGTAAATAGGGCGAGCGCAGCACGTTCAAACTAATCGTGATTATGCGGCAATCTCGGCTGAAGGCAATCGTAATAAAGCCAGCATTTCGCTCTGAATACACGGCCGATGACGAGCCGGTTATGTAATGTAAATGTTTACGTATGTACCTACACACGTGCCCCGCTACCACGTGCTCCGAGAGAACACTAGCCTTGTGAATTATTTATTTACGAGGCAACATTTTCACACGGCGGTCGATGAACTCGTCGAATGATCTTGGAACGCTTTTACGCCGATTAATCTCATGGCCTCGGGTGACATTGCTCACCCTTTATTGTGTCGTACCTTCATATCTTCATACTTGTATGTAGTCTGTGTAACTTGCGATCGTTTCGTTTCTTTAAGTAGTTGCAAAGTGTATGAGTAAAACAAAGGAACACGCTTAGTGCATTAGGAAGGTATTGCAGGAACGACACCGGCTAGAAATACTCTCGAGTTCTTTAACGCATTTCTCATCACACAATTATGATGACCGAGTCTTTCTAAGCTGAATACAGAACGGCTGACAAAACGGCTTTATATGAAAAAAATCGAATCATACCTACCAATTACGGTATACCAAAGCGCGACTCTCAAAGCATAACAATTGACGTTTAATATATACTATAAAAACATATGTTTGAATTAAACACATTATTTTTGTTTATTAAACATTGTCTTTTTTTTATGATTAAGGAAATATTAATGATGTAATACGAAAATTATCACGATAATTCTATTTGACAGTTCAACGACCGTATAACAATATTTTAAGACATTATTTGCAATGTTATTTTTCCTTAAAAAAATAAATATTATATAGACTAAAAAGATAATTATTTTTAAATTAACTTAACGTAGAAACCGTAAGGCGAAATGTAATTATAAAATTAGACCAATCACACTGTTAAACTCGATTATTTTTTGTTAAAGTATGTAAGGGCTTGATAAGAGGAGACTAAATTGTTTTATGTTTAGGGGAAGTCCGTTATGATCATCAATAGTTAATGAGAATTAGCTGGACATAAACCAAAGTTCAGCTTCTTGAAGTACAAAGCTAATAAATAGTATTATAAATGTCAAATTAAAACTAAAAGGTATTCTTTGTGAGGTTAAGACTGATAACGCTTATTGTGTATACCTGTGGCCATTGAATATAGAATGATTAAGAAAGTGAATGTTGGCAAAGGAAACAGGAAAATGTAAAACCACAATATTATGCCATGAGGCAAAGCTAATACATGGATATCCGTAGATCATTCAGTTCAAAATGTACTTGGGTGTAAAGTACAGCTAGTGTGTTGCAAATGATTCTGTTTATTTTTTTAAAATTATATTTCAAGAATAAACCAAATCATACTAAGCCTCATTTATCCAAAGCTTCAAATTTTTATCAAATTAGGAACGGGCCAAGTTTACCGAAGCATACTTATATTTCCTTTCACGCAATTTTGAGCAAGTGCCTGTCAGCGCTGTCAAGCAGACTTGAGAACGGAGTGTTAGGAGTTATGTGGTCGTAAAAAATAGTATAATTTTATTTAAACTTGAATTAAAAAGACTTTTGTTTTCCGGATTACTAGTATTCGCCTATGTGTGTGCTTATTCAAAAGGATTCAACTTATATCCCAACTTGCTACTTTTTATTAACTATTTCATCCAAATTTTAATTAAACGATCATAAAGTTGATTAATTTCTTGTCAATATCGTATATTTGTAGGTGCGATGTACGCTTTATTATGCCTAACATAACTATTCATACTTTTAAAAAATGTTAAAAGAGTCAGTTGCAAGGAAAAATAAATTCAGAATTCCATCCGTTATTAGCAAGAACAGAATTACAAATCGAAATGAATTCAGTAATACAATGTGAATACGATTGCTTCAGAGAAATACACAGATACAGAATCTAGATAGAGTCGCCCAGCACGTCCCGACAGCTTCCAACAATAATAATTAATTGACTCGTCCGTTCGTTATCGTGCTTTTATATTGACGTTCCCGAGCGAGCAAGCGAGCGAGGCGCATTCGGAATGTAATTTCCATAAAAACTTTTGTGCTCCGGACGTTGCGAGCGCACGTTAAAATCGTGGACTGGCAATAAAACAGCGGCCGGTGCGGCGAGGCGCGACGAGTCGTGCTATAAGTGCGAGCAGGATGGAGCGATAGATAATGGACTCTGAACGAAATGAAGAACGCGCGGCTGCGTCGAGCGAGCGAGCTGGGTTGGAACTTGAAGTACAGCAAAAACATCAGGCGGTTATCGTGAAGGCCCTCTCGCCCCGCGCCCCGCTCCCCTCCGGACTCGTCTGATCGACGCCGGAGCCTCTCGGCTGAGCTAACCTCGACAGCGGGGGGTCGTGAGTTGGCTCGACGGGCTCCTTCGCTTGTTGCCGCTATACAGAATGCGCTACATAGCTCACATTTTCTCTCTTGAATTATTGCTCCGTTTTCAACTTTATGAAGCTCAAGTTTTACGTGTTTGCCAGTCGTTTTTGTATGATTCGATAATGAGCTTTATATTCCGGTAGCGGTATTAAGTACCGTTGCCCTGTTATCGAAAGGGATCACCTGATTTACGAGCAACGGGCCTTTGCTTTGGTGAGTACCTTTCGATGACACATACCATGTGTTTGATAGTTTCCTTATCTGTCTTGTTCATAATGTCAATGGGTCAGCATCAATGAATGCTTTACGGCTTTAATGATAAGGTATATTTATTAAAATATCAATGGTTTTAAGTTCTATATTAAGCAACACGTGCTTATATTTCATTACGACGAGAGGGCCGTGTTCTATTGACACGACTTTGCTATTGTTGATGGCGAGGTTGTAGTGTCAAGGTGCTTCGGGTAACTGTTATTTGTTAACTAATTGTGTATGCAAATACAGCAATGTGTTGTTGCATACAAATGTTAGAGCAGATGTTGTAAACAAAAACTTGGAAGTCCTATTCAGAACAAGACGATTTGTTTTCATTTGTCTAACATCAATCTAAATTATTGAAATATTAGAAAATAATGTCCTTTAAAACCGCCGCATCTAGTGGGAATAGTAACTATTAAAAATAGTGGCTTTATTGAATATTTCTGTGTGATATTTCAGGATCTGACCGGGCAGAACAGCAATGACTCGGGCGGCAGCGGCGGCGCCGGGCGCGCCAGCACGCCGCATTTGAGGCCTACACCGAGCCCCACAGGCTCCAGCGGATCGCGATCCATGTCACCGGCTGTCGGTGAGTATTAAGTAGATATTAGATAATATAAATGTATTAGAATGAGTGTGCACAAGTGCTAAGTAGGAAGGATCGGAAACACCAAAAAAACATACTTATTATGTTTATGTAAATAACAATATTTTTGATAACTAGAGATGGTATTATCTACAAGAACCTTATGAACCTTTAAAGAATCATAGCGTCATTATTTATATCCCCATCGAATACGTCATGTAAATACCTAAAGTTTACGAGCAGCTGTGATGGATAATTTTATTTATAACGCGCAATATTATCTAGTATATAAAACAGCTCGGAAACCCTTTCCAAAAAAAAAAAAATTGGTACAATTATATAGTAAGTGAAAGTACCTTGCGAGCTAGATTTTGTACCTCCTCACATTCACATTTTTTGACGAGTCATCCACTCACATTTAGTTGATACATTTCGAACCTATTCACAAATTTTATAATGCACACGCACATACCGAATCATATTGATCAAGTAAAATGTTGACAAACCCAGTAAAAAAGACAAAAAACTTCAGACTCAATAGTTATAGATGAATGATTAATATTAAAATCTGAATAACTGGTATGATTACTGTGAAGCTAGTAGGTAGTCTTTAAGTGCTTTCTTTGCGTTTACATATAAAATTTTGCTTCCGAAACAAGTTATGACGTAGTCTAAATGTTACAAAGAGATGTGTTTATTCTGTAAGCCAAGGACTAGTTAGATTTTGACGAGTAATTAGTATTACTCGTCAGGTACGGACTGAACTTAAATTGACGACGTAGTTGAAGCCGCGTAATATCAAAGTGAGCTCTAAGCAACCGCAATAAGGGTCATCACGGTCAGTACATAGTTTGCCAACTGTGTAGTTTCGCCAAAGGCGTGTTGATCGGATTCATTGTGCATACTTCGTCAGTAGCAGACGCGGGCTTTCCCGACATTGACCCACATAGAGCGGGCGCCCAGAGTACACCGTATTTTGCCCCTTTTGCGGGCGCGAACCACCCACCACCCACCTTATGTACGAGTGAGGGGTGGTCGCGGTATATAGGGCCTCGTGAAAAACTTGCCCCCATCGCTACGAGCACGCAAAACAGGACCTTTCTACCTCCGTCTGTCTACACGTCACGCTCGCCGGCCGGACTTGCTCTTCAACCGATACATAACCTTATATACCTAGCTGAAAAGTTATCACCTACGTTCGCTCAATGTTTATTCACTAACTGCCATTGAGAAAGTGAAAACACCCTTTCCACTATGACGGTTCACTCACGCAACCAGTATATTTAGAACGAATAAAATACAAAAAAATGGTCTGATACATATTCATCGCACTAATGTCTTATACATAAGTTCACATCGAAGACGTGATACACAAAACACATATGAATTAACAAAGTAATTGTCTGAAAGTTGTATCACTTGTAAATTAATAAATGTATATTTTTAACTTTAATAACTTATCAGTAGTTTGATAACCTAAAATGTTTGAGATTGTCATCGAAATAGAGACGTCTGTAATACAGGCCGGTCGCTGACTCGGGTCACTAAGTAGATGCCCGCAGCCGACTTAGAATTGTTTGACGACTATGTACTAACCTAGATATTTGATCTCAAGCCGTTCCATTCATAAAATATTGTGTCGAGTTCAAGTTACCGCGTTTCGCTACTTATAATGTAATTTCGATTTCGGCTCTTAAAAGTAAATAAAGCCGTATACGTACAAAGACCACTTAAATTAGTCGTTCATTGTTCAGAAGGTAAAATTTTTTTAACACTAGTTATTTAAATGGATATTTTTATACTTATTCAATTTGGTTAATTTTTAACACTTACATTACCTTAATTTAAAAATTAAAGCAGAACTTTAAATAAAGGAAAGTTTTTTTTCATATCTTAAACAACTACTCTAATTCATGCTAGACTTCTTCAAAGTAATAAAACATTTTTTGTGTAGTTACTGGAATAACCGGCACGTGTAAGTTGTTTTGCATTGCCTAGCAGTTGAATGCAATCATGTTTATTGATGAATTACGCAAAGATATTTTTTCTAAGTAGTATATTTTTATTTTAACTTTTATATCTTCACTTCTAATGAAATGACAACTAAGCAGCGAAAGTAATTTCATATAACGTCATTGCTATTTTATCACGTCCTGCCTTCGAGCGATCTGTTTGTCATAACTGTGGCTCGTAATGGAGAATGCGAACAGTGTTAAGTTAACGTCAAGTAAACGTGGCTTTCTCAAAACAGCCAGTATAAACTTGAAAAGACTTGGCGAACAGCGATCGTACCGCGTTCAAATACCGGTTATGTGACCGCAATACACCTTCACCAACGGATCTCGTTTGCCACGAAACCGCCCGCATTGGACGCCATGCAATACTCCGCTTCTATGTACGTACATAATATGTGAATATTCAAACCCCGCAGTGTAAGTCTCACTTTGTTGGTTTCTCTAACCGCCTGTCGCTGGATAATGTGAGTTGATGAGGGCAACGTATTTTTTTGGTCGGGCTTCATATCCAGTCCATATAAACTTTCATTGGAAAAATATGCAAAGCTACTCAAAAGGAAAGTTTTATGCGTATGGTTAAGTTCACAATTTGAAACATAATATAGGAAATATTTTGAGCAACAACATTTAACCCTCTACAAAATGACAAAGAAAATTGTTTCGCTGAAGCTGACCTTTCTGACCCTCCGCACATCGCTGTACAGAAAATATTTTTATTTTTTCCATGCCCACGTAGCCTTTTGCGTTCAAAGCATTTTTATCATTACGTGTTTATTCTTGATGTCAATCAGTATACAAAATGAAATATCGAGTAAAGGGAAATAAAAAATAAAGTTGTTTGTGGAAGGTATTGTGCTCATTTCGAATCGGAGTTCCATCGTTAGTGGAATACAATGAAGCCGCAACACCGCAACCCGACGCGTCCGAAGGTGAATTGCGTATTGTTCGTCGCCCGTATGCAACGTGACTTTCAAAAACGCCTTTAATTTTCATTCTATAAGGTTTATTTTGCGCAAAATTGATTGGACTCGAACGATTTCTATTGTGTATTGTATGCTCATTGTAATAAGGTCTAAATTTGATTGCTCTGATAGCGTTAAATCGTACATGGACACTAAAAGCATTTCGCAGTCATTCTGTTGTGCGTATCAGTAGAGGAATGCCACGGGCTAAGATAAGACTGACCCTGAGTCAACTTAGCAGAATTTTTGGTGCCGAAAATTGTGTACTTTTTACATTCTTCCAGACGTAATGTCCCTTTACGGCAAGTTTATATATTTAGCCTTTGCCAGAGTGGAAATGAATGATAAGTTCAAGAGTTTATGTTCTCAAAATTATGGTTTTATGTTTTTTCAAAGTTTAGGGCGAAATGCAATAAAATGAAAAACACATATCTGATTCATAAAATTTTTTTTCGTGGCGAGCGATAAAGTATATACCTATACTCTTTATAAAGTCATATTGCATATCTTATCTGGAATGATCGTGAAGTTTTCAGTATTCAGGATTATTGGGTATCTGAAAATTGGAAAGATAGAGTGGGACAATAATAAACTTGTATCTAAATAGAGACAACAAGCATATGTTTAAATAAGTTACTCAATTTTGTTATAATATGGTTTAATTTTAATAAAACAACAATAAAAATAGAACTTGTTGTAACATTGAATGAAAGTAAACATTCATAAAAAATGTAAGAAAGGTTCAACAAATTTGGCACTGGTTCAGATTTTAACTTATTAAATGATTTAGTGTAACACTATTTTTTATGCTGAACTTGGCCTTGGCTTGCACATTAATTTATGTCCTCATCTGCGCTGATCTATCTATATTTTCTAAGAAAGAAATAAAAATGCTTTTTTGTAATGGTCGTCATAAGTTGTCATTATTGGTAATTTCATATATATCATTCATAAAAGGGGTCGATCCCTTTTAGGAGACCGGGGAAATATACATAAATAACCACCTGTGTATATTTTGTCCTCGCACAAAGCCTTACTGCCACGTGTCCCGCGTCCTTGATGAGTTCGACGACCTTTTAAAGAAATTTAAAGCGAGGATGGTTTTTGGTAACCCTACACTTCAAAATGATCTGCGATTAGCGTTTGTTTGAAGTCTTTAAATCTCACACACCCATATTCTATACTACTTTAAATAGTAATTCAATGTCTGAACATTTATTAATTACAAAAGCAAGAATATATGTATTATTTAATTGGCTCATACTCTAGCCATTATGGTTAAAATAAAATTTGGCGACTAATGCCCGGTCCTTTACAAGGCCTTCGTGGGCAGCCAAGATACTCTCGAGCACATAGCTCTTGCTAGTCCATTGTGGATACACTGCTTTTCGTCTGACGATACACCAACTGGTCAGTTATGGCAGAATGTAATAGGTGTGTTGTGTGTCTCATTGAGTTGTTTTCGTCTATTCATTGGAGGATTGGTATTTAGTATACGAGACCGCTGCGCCTGGGCTGTTGAATTGACATGTCAGTAAAACTCAATTATGTTTGTACATAACAATGTATGAATAATATCAAAAAGAAATGTTGATCTGGTAATAATCATATTGTGCAGATTAACGGTCTTTTGTGTTTATCATATCGTTATACACCACATCACCAAATGTCAAACATCTGCCATGTTAGTCATAATGTGGACATTAAACGTAACGTAACGTCAATCATCGTTTATGTTGAGTCAACGAGTTGAATTAACAAGAGCTCGGGACCTGTTGCGATATGCCGTAACCTAACCTGGAATTAATTATATTCAAATAACGACGGAAAAGTGATAAATCTCAGTAAGTCAAGGTCAGTTGGGGGTTCGACATCGCATTCACCCCGTTTCACCCTCACCTAATGGTGCGGACATTCTTTCCCAGCCGGATTTCTCGCCCGTTAAAAACATTCACTTACATCGCCTACCCTCTCGTCAGCTGAGTTAATGACCCCCTTAACGTAAACGGAGTAGTCAAGTTGTTTTTTTTTTTGCTTTGCGCATTTCAGTCCCGTTTTTTTATATTTACATTATCATATAAGTCAAGTTACTCGTATTTAATCAACAGAGCTTACCACAAAAATGTATAACGTCCAGTTCATACTGCAATTCGGTCTTGTAATCATAAAACAAATTTTGGAAAAAGATAGAGAAATTGGTTCAATCTATTCTGCTGACACAGGCTGTGTTTATTAAACTGGCTCGCCGTCAGTGATCAATTTAAATGGAGCGCCGGCGGGCGACGGACAGCGCCGCCGTGTCGCCGTTTGTTTCAACTAGGACGCTCTTGTTAACGCTATTGTCACACGTTCACCATTATATTGACAGACAAATAGAGTCTGCAACAATTCGTGGCAACAATGGACGAACCCGACCTCGGGAGACAGTTTTGTCGGTTTTGCATGGCACTGACAGAATTACATTAAGGGTAAATTGTTGTACTTGGTGCAAGCTATAGACGCAAATGGAGAAATAAATTCGTCATACAAGTAACTATACATATTTATTTATTAAATTACATACAAGCATTTTCTAACTGTATAATTTTACAAAAAAAAAATATTACACTTCCAATTACTAGTAATTTTGTGCTTTAGGATTAGGTACCAGATAGAGGCATAACAACGCTTTTTTAAATTGCTCAGCCCACTACCGAATATGCTTTAGCTTCATATTAATCCTGTTGCCATAACTAGTAATAGCAAAACATAGAGGCTAAACATTTTAAGGAAGTTGAAGAATTTGAGATTGCAGTTAATAAAATTTGTTTTGAAAGACTTACGAAACAGCTAATTTACATTTAACTTAATCAAATTGGTCTCCAAATGCAGCGTGTTGATTAAACGAAAATATATACTTGAATAAAAACGAAGATTAACTCCGTTATTACTGTATACCTACTAGTATATAAATAAGTATTTTCGACTAAATTCAAGAGAGTTGTACTTCAGAATTAGCATCGTGTATTATTTCTACTCTGACCCTGTGTGACCACTTAGTTGCGGTATATACTAGTAGCCGCCGCAAAGTGGTAGTTGCATTGGCCGTGCGGTGTCCATAACTACACAGCATTACGACCACGTAAATATACAATACAAGCAACTACATGTCTCAATCACTCAGTGCAGTTAAACACCGGTCACTCTATGTCCACAGTACAAACGGTGTGATGAAAACAAACTATAAAAGTTGGAAGAGTCCCTGGCAACGCAATCCAAATAATGTTCGTATAAAAATTGAATTGAAGAGCTAGTACTCATCAGATTTATATTATTAAAATGCTAAATCGTCGTAGATCGTATATATTAATAGATATTTGAATCTAGCCAAGATATTTCTTAAGTTTTCATTTAATACATTTTACATCCGTTATGACGCAGAGTAAAACCCACGATGGACTGAATAATGGATATGATAAGACATGAATTAAACGTGAAGTTCTCTTAAATCACAGCAATGCAAATAAATGTCAAACGGCAGTCATACGATTGTATGAATGTAAAGTAAATAATGTTTTGGATCTAGTCTATGACAAAACATTTTGATGTTCATTTAAGCTTTTTACAATACCTTAAATATTAAGTTATAACTAGACAATTACTGTGATTTACAATTCGACAAATATATTTTCGTAATGTAAGGCCAACATTCACACGCTAGGAGAGCCGCTTATGAGAAAAGCCGTAGACAAAATAAAAACGACATTGAAAAATATAAATTTAAATAAAAATTATTTAATTGTATTGTGCTACTAAAAGTAATATATCAAAACGTGGCAGTAAATTACGAATCGATTTAAGCTAACTAAATCGATTACAGTGTCACTAATAAACAGAGGTTTGCGCGGAATGCGTCCGCCACACAACGCACCTCGCATATTCCTTACCGCATTTCTACCATACGGGACATTGATATGACCAATGATTGAAACAATGCAAAATACACCTTATCTTGTCTTGATTAGTTTTATAATTGTTATTTCCATTATCGTGCAGGAGTAAATTGAATGAGGTGACTCAGTCGAAATTCAGGAAATAACAGTTTCACCTGTTGCGGTTGAATACTGCCCACGGGCACTACGTGATTCATCTCAGCTTGTTAACTGTTTCTTGATAACTTTCATTGATTAGAGTTTAGCATGCCTTATTGTGGTTATAGTCGGGTTGATTATTGGCTCAATCATGGGTACTTGGAATATGGAATTTGATTTTACTGAAAATCAGATTTGCTTGTAACAGAAGCTAAAGGTATTTGTATTGTATGCTTTTATTATTTGTTATATACATTTTTCAATGAAATTGTTCCAAATAAACTCATTAAATTGATTAATATTTTCTTCATATGTTTATTACGAATCTAGGCGGTGGGTGGAAAGTAAAGACCTCGATTAGTGGCCGCCCTTGACAGAGCTGGTTACCACGATTGTAAAACTCACGCGCACTGTCGTGCTCTTTGCGTCGGTTTCATTTATCTTGTTCGACGTTGAATTAAATTATCTTATAGTTAATCGTTATTTATGTAACTGAAATGTTACAGAACTTAAATTGGCATGACCTACACTTAAATTGTTTGCCCTTTATTATTTAGGACCGCAATTATATAGTTTGTTTTTGTAAATTAATTACTTTGTCCAGCTTTGTTGACGAATGTAACTGCGCGGTTTATATTTGTTTTTTTATGTATATTAACTTGTTTATAAAAATCTTTTATGTAAAGTCTATCATAATAAAATTCGTCATTGATGACTTTCTCTTATTCGCCAATACTTTTCCGTTGATTCTTTGAATATGGTACCCTTTTTCATAATATGCTGTGCTTAGCTGTTCAAACTTTGCCTACCATAATCATATAGCTGTAATATTTATGCTTAGTACATTTCTCTAAATGTCGGAAAAGATTATCATAATAATGAAATTGTATTGCTTTTCTAAGACATGACAGTAAGGGAAATTATCTAATTTTGTATTCACATGAGCTCGTTCATCCTATTGTAGACATGAAACAATGCTACTATAATAAAATTTGCATAGCAGTAAAAATAAAACAACAGCAATCGGTTTTGTTCTGATCTAATTTGGATAAGCCTATGCGAGCATTTTTACAATTTCAATTTTGTTTTATACTGAAAGCCTACCGTCGCCTATTTTTAAAAAGCGGGACCGGTGTCCCTTAACATACATCAACAATACATATGTATTATGTATATAGATGGGCACATTACCTTATCTATGATTCACCGGCGCCTCGCTGTCTACCCAATGTCTGATCGTTCCGCCACTATATTAACTCTTCGATAATAACCCGACAATGAGATTATCAAACGACCTGCCTTAAGTGTTCTGCATTTAATACGAGATATTCTTATCTGAAGTCTATACAGGTTAATATTCGTGTCATTAAAAACCCACAGACTATTTAGTTACGCAAGAACTAACTTGTCTTTTCACTATTTTAAAACACGCGAGGAAAAGGTCTCTTTATATTCATTTTCTTGGTCAACTGTTTACATATTGCTAGTAGCACTCGAGCCGTGTTTACCAGGTACACCCAGTTTAGACGAGAAAACTGGAAAGAGTTTCGCCATTTATAGAACTAAACGCTCAATGTTAAGATTAATAGACGATCGCGTAACAGTAACGTAACAGTCAAATCGACCCACATAAAAGCTGCAATACCACTTTCGTCGCAAATCTCGGCCTCGGTCAATGTGTATGTCGTATGCACTTATACGGTCGCGGTAAAGTGCAGAGAATTCGCAGGCTAGCGGTGCATGCGGCTCACGTTCCAGATGAAAACGAAAGTGATCCGGTGCGTCTCCCTCGATTGATGCAGGCTTAGCCGAGCCTCGTTAACTGTATTATTCAAATCGTGAGTGTAGATCGATCACACGCTCAAACATTGCTTGCACTCTCGGATACAATTTAATTCAAGTGCCTCCCTCGGTATTTTGCATCACAATATTCCAGTTGTTTCGGCGTTGAATTTTTTGATTTGCCAAATCAAATATACAAATTGGTTCGTATTTTTATTATTACTCTCCAAATATTGACAGCGTTCGTCTATTTTCACCTACTGACCGATAAAAATAGTATGACCTTGATACAATTATAACAATTAATGTTATCTACAAAAGCGGTATCGTTTATCTCATATTTATGCATTAAATACACACTGCCACGGAAAAAATAATACAAAACATAAAATTTTATCGTCACAGCTGTTTCTATTACGTGGATTTATCTTGTTACTAACTGTCTTGGCTTTATCTTTTAAGCATAAATATAAAATACAAAATATACGAATCTTGACACACGTCAACTCTACGGACTGTTATGTGTATTGACAGAAATAACATACAACAGCTATTACCATTACGTACATTGATAGTAAACAAAGTCGAACCTTTGACATGTCATTCTATCTACTCAGTATCGCAGTCACATAATGAATTAAATTAATTTTCCAGGTACGCAGAACGTCAGTATGCCACCGCGACCGTCATCGTCACTGTCGGACGGCGGCGGCCCGCCAGTGCGAGCCGGGGCCCCGGCGGCCGGCCCGCCTCCTTCTGGGGCTCCGCCGCCCGGGGCCATGCTCCCGCAGTCCTACCATTATAAGCCCGCGCCGTACCCGCCCCAGCCCTACGGATATCCGCCGCCGCGTAACCATCCCTATCCATATGGCGGGTACCGACCTACGCCGCCACCGCATCCTTCACAACACTATCCACCGCTTAAGGTAATATTATATAAAACATTCCAAATCTCGTGACTCAAGTACAAGTAAAAATTGTCTGCCCCATGTCTATGGAAATTCTTGAGGAAAGGCTTAGTGAAATGTATTAAAAGAAAGAAAAATACATTTATTCAACCACATAACATAACACTTTATTTCTTAGCTATAAATGTAAACCTAAAAGTACTAACAACTATTTAACATTTATATTTAATATGATTTTTATAACCACGCGTACAGAGTTTTTTGCTCTTAATGTCTCATTTTACAATATCTAGCTATCCTTAACTATTATTTTTACTCAACTTTGTTTTTTTAAGTAGTAGTTAGTAATACAATATGTTTCCAGGGCGGTGTGGGCCGCCACATGGGTCCGCCGGGTGAATCAATGGGACCGCCAAATGCGCCAGGAGAGGCTCACGATAATGGTCCGGCGCCTCCGGCAACGGCCCTTGTCACGACCGGCCCTGATGGAGCTCCCTTGGACGAAGGCAGCCAGCAAAGCACGCTTAGTAATGCATCCGCAGGTACATTCTTTTGTTTCTTTATACTAACTAACCATTATTATTTTCAGTTATTTCGTATAGTAATTGTGATCTATGGGGTTTAATTCAAAATTAAAGTTTTTTTTTTAAATTTACATCCTCCTAGGAAACTATTCTTAATTAAGTTTTACTTGTAATAAAAATTAGATTAAATGTTCAAATCTACGCTTTCCAGCATCGGGCGAAGAGCCATGCGGTACCGGCAAGGGCTCTCGCAAGGACTATGGCAGTGCGGCGCCTTCGCCCTCTCCGGGAGGTGGCTCACATTCCTCCGCCCACGATGACTACGAGACTTCGCCGTCGCCTTGGCCAAGACCACCCTCTAGTCCCGTGAGTGTAAAACCTACAAGACCACAAAAACCACTAAAGTTCTAAAAAATACATCAAATAATAAATATTACAGCTCTGTATATAGCGTTAATTGTACCACAAATGTTACAAATAAATATAACATTGAAAATTATTAATACTCTTACAAATCATAAAACAAGGACACCAATATAACACTCAGCCTATGTACAGAGTTAACCTTTTGTAGGCATACAATTATTAATCTGTATTACCTAAGTTTATATATTACGTTAGCAACGTGTTTATATTATACAATTCATTCAACAACTTACAACACAGTCATTGATACAATACACGTTTTATACTGTACAGGTATTTATGTATGTGTTAATTTAATAAGACACATTCTAATCCACAATGTAAAAGTTTACTTCCACGGTGTACCTAGGTTAATTAATAGCTATGGTGTAACCTACATATAACAATACTATAGAAATGTTGTTTCTGAAATGACATTTAGCACGGGTAGCATTTAAAGGGGCTTGCAATTGTCTGATTAATTTAATAAATGATTATTAAAGTTTTATGAAACCCCTTCAGTTTCAAAGATTATTGGCATACGGTCTATTTCCTATAAACATACTATATGTTTCAAATAGTAACTAATATAACATAAAAATAATGAAGTATTCAATATCTATTTGGAACTTAAAAGCCCGGTCATACTGTAGTCATTAATGTATCTGAAAAGCATTATTATTTGATTTATAACCTTTTGTTTTGCAGTATTCAGGCTTGACCACAATCAAAATTAAGTTTCTATTGTATTGTTACTCGAAGGATGTAACTAAATAATTATAACTAATCTAGCACATTGTTTCTTGTTTGCACCTGTAGCACAATTTTAAAATACTCTATAACTAAACTAAAAATTAGCTAGTTAGGTATATAAAATGGAGATGGTAAGCATTGCATTGTCGTATCTTTCAGGTGTTTAACAGTCACATACCTCCGGAGTCCTACAGATCAAAGGTTTATATCAAGTTAAAATCACTAAGCATGAGTAGTGCTCGATATTTTATCTCTTTTGCAGGATTTGGTTGGTGTAATGTTGATTGTATTGAAAATATAACAGAATGCAAAATATTGCTTGCCATAATTTCAGCATTTGAATAACAAAGCATGGCTAATGCAAATGCTATGCTCTATATTATATTTATGACGAAATCTATGCTGTAGTTTTCAACAAATTTAATAACACAAAATCTTTATATATTCTATAACAATGTATTTAGATCTTGATATTATATTGACTGAATTATGTATATCTTTTGACAGTTTCTTTTATCAGTTACTCGATTATTTTTAGTTAAACTTTGTATAATCAACTCATTACACCAAACACCTTAGTATTCCTTTGGTAACAAAAAAAAATCGTTATTAGTGCCTCAATGCAAGGTTGTATGTTTAGTTGCCATGCATTTTGAATTCCTTCAAAGAGTTTCGAACTTTAGAATGCTTTCTGCTACTTTTCTCTAATTGGTGTTGGCTCGATAAACTGGTCTTATGTTGTATGTAATAACCATATTTTGCCGGTGAGTTTTATTTAATGACAGTCGAGACTTAACCCTAAGTGAACTCTCGTATGTCAAATACGTTGCATTTTGACATACGGCAGTCTATAGTTCGCGCTGAATCTTGCGGTTAGAGATTCGATCTGTTTCAAAACGAACAAAATGCTTTAGAAAAGCCCTTCAATGCTACATTATGCTTATTTTATTTTAATTTAAAGTAGCATGTTAAAGAGCAGTTGATATCGAAAATATGTTCACTAAATCATAAATTTAATCACTCGGATGCAGTCGTTAAAGGAAAAAATATACATTACTGTCTATATACCACATCTATAGACAAAAAGTGCATATTTTCGATATGCTGCGACCGTGCAGTAGTTACGGGGTATATGATGTCGTGTGTTGCGCCAGAAGTCGGACTCGCTGGTCAAGCTTTACGAGATGGACGACGCCCCCGAGAGGCGGAGCTGGGTCGAGAGGCTACTCGCCTTCATGGAGGAACGCCGGACGCCCATACCCGCCTGTCCGACCATTTCCAAGCAGCCCTTGGATCTCTACAGGCTGTATCTACTTGTGCGCGACCGGGGAGGATTTGTTGAGGTGAGTTTCCAATGCAATACAATTATTAATTAATTTGTTTCGCACCTAGGACCTACAAGTAAGCCATAAAGGTATATAGGTATATACAATTTTGTCTTCAGTCACCGTGACCACGCACGCTGTAAAGCACGCGGTACGTCGGTTAAATTTAAAATTATGTAAAATAATTGTAAATTTATAATAAAACATAACTTCAAATCCGTTAAAAAAGTGTTTTTCTAGGTATATACAATTTAAGTGGGAATTAATTAGATGTATAAATGATTTGCCATTTGAAAGATTACTATGTTAAGATCAGCAGCTATGTTACTTAGCTTAGCTGAGTACTAGTAGTACTACTACTAGATGGTTCTCGAATGTTTCGAAAATACATAAAAGTGCCGTCAACTAACTCCTACTAAATGTACGAAAGTTGACTAGAAACAAGCGTGAAAATTCTCATTCTATATTTATAATATTAAAAGGTAATTTATGTTTAAAAAAACGATCCCTAACTAATATACTTAGCGATTTAATGTGAATGCGTGTGCAGCTTTATGTGAATAGCCATAAACTTTGAGGCTTTAACGACACTTAATAAATTTTTATCATTACGGGCCAGGCATTACAGTGTATTTTAAATAAACATTAGTGTTGCCAGGGCGGTACGAACGGATCTGTTTTCATTATTATTAAAATTAATGGTTAGATTTCTAGTCGTTAACAATAGAAATTATTGCTGTTGTTTTATTCTTAATGTTCTCATTCAGTCTTTGTGTAATGAAAACGGCATTTGCAGTATACTAGTGATGGTTCTTAGTGAATATGTCTCACATACAATCATTGCTTCGATACGAATTTAAAGCCATTTAAATTTGCCATATTTTTTTTAATGTCCTTTGAAATAATTAAGTACACACAATTTATTAAAATAACTGTTCATATCACCATTGTCTTTGTTGTCAAATAACTTTTAATTCAGTCTGTAAATGTTATTTCATGCTTTTATTTTGCCTTTTATACTTATAAAATTATTAAATATTCCCAATAATCCTTGTCAATAACCTTGTAAATACTATGTTATGTCGACTCCCATAGTTCCTACTTAAAATATATCCTCATACAGGAACGGCTTTAGTTGTTTCAAAAACCTATATAATAATTATCAAGAGTTATCCTTATATTTCCTTTAATTTACATTTATATCTATATTTATGAGATTCTATCATTTTCAGGTGACGAAAAACAAAACGTGGAAAGACATAGCTGGCTTACTCGGTATTGGGGCGTCTTCGTCCGCCGCGTACACGCTACGGAAGCACTACACAAAGAATCTGTTAGCTTACGAGTGTCATTTTGATCGGGGTGGGATAGACCCGCAACCCATCATCAACCAGGTCGAAGCCTCCACTAAGAAGAAGAGCGGGAAGAACAACAACGCTGCTAATGCAGGTAAGGGTAAGATACTTGACGATTCTTTGAATGTATTGTGAGTAGTGGTAGCTTAATGTGTTTGAGCTTATAGCGGCATGTTTTATTTGGCTTCCCAATCTTTTAGGATTATTTTATATACAAACAAGTAAATATATTGCTTACTTTATATATCTATACTTATTTATTTCATAGAAACGGAAAGTTTTTTTTACAAATGGTATATTAGTATGTTATTTTTGGAACGTAAGCGTAGAATGTAGTGACTTAGATATATATTTAACTTGCATGTTATTTATCACATCTGTGTTTAAAGCGTTATAATGATCGTAATACTAAGCCCCGAATTCGATTTCCAGCGAAACAATTGTTTGTGGTTTAAGCACAGGGCAACTATCATGCCTAAAAATGATCAGTAAAATTCGACTGAGAAATGTGTGTGTTTAACCTAGTCCCACCAGCTACGGGACTTAACATTAATTATTTTTGTTCGTCTTTTATTCAATTAATAAAATAAATTTCCGCTGTGTACATAGAGTTGATTGTTTTAATTTTAGTAACAAATATATTTGTATGTTATAGCAGGAAGTTCGAACAACGCTGAACAATTTGCGGGAAGCGGCGCTGGCGGAGCACCTATTGACGCCTACCAGCCTCACTACGCGCCGTATCCGCCTCAGCCCGCTCAGCAAGGTATAACACACGATCTATACACATACACACATTCAACACACGGATAAACACACAACTTTATCATCTTGTACTTCGAAAAGGTTATTTGCGATATATCGTAAAAATTAGCTGATATATATTTTCTTGTTCTTATTAAAAACTTGTAAATCAAGTAAATCATTATTATTATCTTAATTAATATCTTAATAATCGCAATTGATCGTTTCGCGTGGACAGTACAACTCAAATATCAACAAAGTATTGCTTCCCAAAACATTATTTAAATAAGAGTGTTGACACAATTATATTGAAATTTACACAAAAATTATAAAATAATGGCTAATCAAGCGTTTTAAGTTAATTGGCTTGAATCCGGAAGGTTAGATTGTAAATATTTACCATATAGAAGCACGATACTGCTGTAAATGTGCATAATAGATAGTCACTAGGAACACACAGATTTAAGCTTGTTCTATTTTTTTAGCTTTTAAGATTTTACACTCACGTCGAGAGACAAAAACGAGACAGTATAAATAGTGCCATTGACATGAAAATAGAATAGTTTTCCATAGCCTCAAGTACGAGCTTGTTTCGTAGTGTTGTTACTTATAAGTAAACTAAAATATCTCCTTATATAAAATATATAGAGTAAAAAATCTTCAAAGGTTCTATTTATACATTATTTCGAATATATAAAAGGATGATTTTCTCTCGCATGGGAGTCATTGAAACTCAAGTGATGTATATGTATTAAAAATGCTGACATCATTTGTACTTATTATATAGTTGTAATATAGCTTATACTAACATAACAAAGCACAAGAATTCACCAATCTATGGATTTAATATCTAACAATTTCTTTTGATCCATACCAAAACTATGCAAACTTAGATGGCACTTTAATTTTAGAATACTTTTGATGCATAGAGAATTGTGAGTAAAAGATAGGAAAACGATCACGAGTATTACGAGTTCCATACCATTTGCTTGAATGCCTTATTAATGTAAATATTACCCCTGTGCCAAAAGTATTCTATAACGCATAATAAAGTCTCCATTAGGGAAATAGTACGCAGATAGTATTCCAAAACGTATTGTCACCATTTTATTTTGAACTTAAGTGCAAAATATCAAATTTAGAAAATGTTGGTCACCTGAGCGCTTAAAGCATGACTCAGCACACAGTTTAATATTTTCGGTTATATAAAATAATATATAAAAGTTCATAGTCCCTTTCAAATTCAAACAAATCTTCTTGAATGAATTCGTTTGACTTACGTTTTGGAAAAGCATAGTATGGTACCGGGTGGTATAGCGTGGTGTGGTTGTAGGCGGCGGGGCGGGCGGGGACATCGCCGCGTCCAACCCGTTCGACGAGCCGCCCGGCCCGCGGAGACCGCCAGGTACATGCGTTAACACTTCACATGCACACGTTTCCGACCTGTGACCTTTACCCCACAAGAACGACTTAAATACATGACGCTTGGAGTAGCTATTTGGGTTTACGACAGGATGGAAGCTTTGAGACCGAAAATTCCTATATCCCCAGACTAATAAAAAAAGAACATGACCAAATGCTGTAGATCGGAGAATGGCATGACGAGGTTATCAAAAATTTTTATCTGTTAAGCTATCCATAGATTATCCAAATCCGTCATTTAATGTATAAAGGAAAATTTAATACAGATTATTCAAAAATGTTTAAAAACAAGATTTTTTATCTCACTTATGTCTAGATAATGTTGTAGATTTAAAATGTATACTTGAACAAAGGATTGGTCTGAAACGTGTGCATAGTGCACATTATATGACAAACTAAAAGCTATATTTGTACAGTTGCTGTAATAAAAATTAATTGCTTTGTAATGATTCACCAAGATCTGTGTTTCTTAAGGTCTCAACTCTGCTCTGTTTGTGATTCTTGACACTTACCACTCTAACGCCTGTATTCCATAAAAATCTTGACAAGATCTGCAATGTCATCTCTCCAATTAATTTCACTCAAGCAACCTTTTGGAATACGGGTCAAAGAAGAATGTTTTACTTGCTCTTAACAGTTTTAACTTACAATAACACATCGAAGTTTTGTCATTTAAATATCATATCATTGAAACGTGTGAACTTGATAGTGCTTTATAGTTTTTGTTGCTTAGTATAAAGTAGAATGTTTGTGTTTTACTTACATGTGTCATTTTGGTATTTTCTCGTTTGATATATTGTTTATTGTATTTCAGGTTACCAACAAGGATATGGTTATGAATATGGGTCCCCGTATCCGGGTAATCGGCCTGTTTACCCGCCATATGGCCCCGAAGGGGATAGGTATGTTAATCATTTTTATATAGTAGACTTACTGAGGATAATATTTATGATAATGAATACAATTTGACAGAGATATTATTATTTAACTCTAAGCAGTATAATTAGGCTAATTTCTTTTGTAAGAGAAAATGCCTTTTAAACTCAGTAATAAGTAGTTATCGCATATTTTCTAAGTGAAAATACATCACTTAAGAGTGAATTAAATAAAGTACCACGTGACAAATATACAATTGCAGGGGTTACAGTCCTGGTGAATACGGCCGATATGGCGGTTACGGCGGGCCGTATCGTGCAGGAGCACCCGCTCCGGGCCCTGGCGCGACCCCCGGAGCCCCGGCGCCACCTTCCCCGGCCGGGGCCCCTCCTGCGCAGCCTTACCCGGACTATTACCGCCAGCCGCACCCGCATCAACCGCCACACCCCCCTCCACATCCGCCACACCCGCCACATTCGCCTCAACAACCGCATGAGGTACGTTTTTATTTTAAGATTTAATAAGTTATAATTTGTAAAAGTTATAATTTTAAGAGACTTAAATATCTGTATTTTATACAAAGATAAAAACGTGACGTTCTCTATGAGTAAATCTTTTGGAAGGTAAAAAGTTATATGAAATAAGGAATGGTAAGAATGTATAATTGTTCCAATTTCATACAAGAAACAATCTACTACTTAAATATAAATCAAAGATTTTCATTAATTTTCTTGTTGTGTTGGTAATATTCGGCTGTAGTACAGTCCATATTAAGTACTGGTGACATAAAAAGTCCTGAGGCACTTGAAATTAATATATTGTTTCTTCAACACAAAACAAAGAACAACACATCAAAGCATAAATTATATGTTTTATTACTTGAGTCTTATTTGGAGCATGTTCATTTGTAGTTTCGATAAACGTAAGTTACTGCTTATACATATTATTATGTTGATGTTAATATTATTTTTATCACTTTTCGATTTATCCATTTTAGTATAGATAAAAAATTTGGTCACTACTGTTAGCAACAACAAACATTAATATTTTTGGATGATTACTGAGATAATTAATGCGAGGTTACAGTGAAAATGTTGTTTATTTCATTTTTATGATGTCTTGTTATGTATTAATTTTGCTTGTGAATGGAGATTTTTAGAAACGTTACGCGTAACAAATATACGCAAATATATTAAACGTCACCTACATTCACAAAATATTTGAGCGTGTGCTTGCACGCATTACGTGCACGTGTACGCGTACGCCGACTGATGCATTGGCGGTGTGTAGATTGCGTCGTGCGGCGGGCTGATGGGCTCGCAGCTCGCGAGGCAACTGGTGGCGCCGCTGCCCCCCGCCTCCAGACCATACGTACGGAACCACCGTTTGTACCACGCACTCCACACCGCTTCCCACCATTGGCGATACACTTTCCCACCTCGGGGCACTGTCGCGGATGTTGCTCGGCCACCTCGTAATTGATACCAGCGGAAATATATCTTGTTCGATCGTTCATTACTAACAGGTTTTCGGTTTGCAAATGCCAATTATAGGCTGGTGGTAGACTTATTTAATAAAAAAAAGTTTTGGCATAAATTTTGTAAATAAAGTAAATGGTAAAATATGTATGTTGAGCATATCAGTTACGTTGTGACGAGACAAGGTCTATGCAAATTCAATTCCTCTGGTTTGTCAAAGTGATTGACCCACCAAAGTTTTGGACATTGCAGCGAGCCGGGCGGGACGTCGACTTCATACGTGGTTTTGGCTTCATTTAATTTCTCCGATAATACCACTCGCTTAACGAAATTCTCAAGCTATTCACTTTCAGTTTTCGTTAACAAGTTGGCTTGCGGTGTGAATAATTGGCTTTTCAACCGCGACGGTCGGTCGCTAACACGATCGCACATGCCGAAACCGACATTTTTCAAAATTTAACCCAACAAAGTGGAAGATAAGGTTTAGAGTGTGTGGTGGTGGCTTCACATCATAAACGGAATAATTTCACTTAATCATTTGCATGCTTTCACAGGATCATGTAAGCGAGCGAAGCTTTGTAATATCGCTGTTCTAGGGATTGTTCCTATAATCCACTCTTAGAATACGGATCTTTCATCGTTTATATTTTGTATGTGGGTTCACGGCTAGTGTAAAAATTGTTTCTAATCATAGTGTCGTATTTTTTTTAGCTATCAAAAGTATCTAGAAAAATCGACAATATGTTTTGTATCATTGTCAATAATCATAAACTTCATTTTACTACCATTTGTGTGAAATTCTGAAAATAAAATATTGTGTAATAAAGATTACTTAAAACTGCATAATATTTTCGGCATTTCAACACCCATCACTAATCCATGGAATGGGATGATACAAACTCTAATTCAAAATGTATTAATTATATCTATAACTACAGCAATACGGCGGCAAGGGCGCACCCCCGGTTCCTAATGCGGGTCCACCCGGCGTGGCGGGAGCACCTCGGCGGCATCCAGACTTCGCGAAGGAGCCCTACAATTCGAGTGCCCCACCCGGGGCGCCGCCGAGCCCCGCGGGGCCTCGATTTGGCGGCGGTTGGGGTCCCGGGTTTCAGCGTGCCGCATCACCTGGCTGGCGACCGCCCCACCACGCCCCCCTACCCCACCATCAACAACCAGGATGGCCTCCACAACCTCATCAGCCGCATCAACCCTACCATCCACCGGTATGTGCACAAAATCAAACTAATATCTACTAATAATACCGGAGTGGTATTGGGCTACCTCGTCACTACCGCTTACGCTTATATCCTGATGAAAATTCCACTCAAATTGATTAAATGGGATAAGATCTAGTTTTGCTAGTCATAACTAACGAATTGAAACTGTCAATACTTGCACTGTTTGTGATAATCCACCATTAATTCCCACTGGTTTAACGATTAAAATTCATTCTAATTTCATTTTCCCGACACAAATTCACAAATGTTCCGGACACTTATTGTACGTCGAGCTTAGTATGAGAACCATGTTTCAAATTTTCTTTATTGAATTCCGTCCTTGCTTCATAATCTTCTCCTGGCTCATTCGTGTTAGCACACGAGTAGTACGTGGTTCTCATACGGGCGGTGTTGTTGTAGGCGGCGGGCGGACCGGCGTGGGGCGGGCCGCGGCCACCGCAGGATCTCACGCCCGCCGCGCCTTCGCCCGTGAGTCATGCACTAATGCACCTTGCACATTACATACATTTCACTATAACCATTATTTTTCTTGTATTCTTCATATAGTTTTACGTATGTCAAACCATAATATTGCTAGCGAACTTTATTCCTCTAACCAATAACATTGTCTTGTACATTGTATATGTATTCTACAATGATTCAATTTTTGAGTCTGTTTCGAAACACAGTTGAATAATAAAGCAATATGTTTTCAGGGGGCGACATCTGGTGTCGGCCAAATTAAACGAGAATTGACTTTCCCTCCGGAGTGTGTGGAAGCGACGGTGCCCGCGCCTGAGAAAAGACGCAGACTGACAAAGGGTGACGTCGCCCCGGTGGACGCGTGGCGAATCATGATGGCGCTCAAATCGGGTCTCCTCGCGGAGACCTGCTGGGCGCTAGACATCCTCAATATTCTACTGTTTGACGACACCTGCATCGGGTTCTTCGGCCTCCAGCATCTGCCCGGTTTGCTCGATTTGCTGCTGGAGCACTTCCAGCGGAGTCTCGCCGACGTGTTCGACGCGCCCGCTATGGCTCCCGAGCCGTGGTACGCGCCGCCGGCGGTCAAAGAATCTGTTGCGCCGCCACCCCGACGTATCGAGCCCCCCGACCCCGCAGACCGCATTAAGGTTACCACGGGCGAGAACTACACGCTGCAGTCGCGTCGTCGCGTGCCTGTCACCTTCGTCACTAAGCTAGACGACGACGCGCTCTTTGCGCCCGAGGATCCCGAAACCAACCAAGACGTCGAGGACGTGATAGAGCCTTGGCAAACCGACACGGTCAATAGATTCGACCACGTGATGCCCTGCTTCCGTGCCGAGTTCGTACATCTGCCGTTCGCCCGGGTTCTGCCAGGAGAGCGAGCACCCTCGCCGCCCGCGCCTCCGGCGTCGCCTCACTCTGACGGACCCAGCGATACGCCCGCCCTTCCCGATACGGCCGACCCGCCCCCCTCCGAACCCCCGTCCACGGCCACGGACGAAGGTGACAACTTGGAGGCGGAACCGATGGACATAGAACCGGAAAGAAAACCGGCGTTGCAAATTCGGGATTCCGCCGGAGTGCTCAAAAGACGACGTTTGGAGGACTACGAGGACGAATGCTACACGCGCGACGAACCTAGCCTTAATCTTATCAACGAAACGCGGGACGCCCTCGCCAAGCGGTGTATAGCGTTATCCAATATTCTTCGCGGGCTGACCTTCGTACCCGGCAACGAGGCGGAATTCTCGAGGTCGAGCGCTTTCTTAGCTCTCGCTGGAAAGCTCCTGCTGCTACACCACGAACACGCGCCTCGGGCGGCCCGAGCCAAGGCCTACGAGCGTGCCGCCAGAGACGAGGTGGACGCGGACGCGTGCTGCTCCAGCCTGAAGGGCGAGAGCGAATGGTGGTGGGACACGTTGGCGCAACTGCGGGAGGACGCGCTGGTCTGCTGCGCAAACATCGCCGGCAGCGTGGAGCTGTCCGGTCAATCGGAAGCCGTGGCGAGGCCGCTTCTGGACGGCCTCCTACACTGGAGCGTGTGTCCCGCGGCCGTCGCCGGCGACGCCCCGCCGACGGCCTCCCCGGCGTCGCCCTTGTCTCCTAGAAGATTAGCCCTAGAGGCGCTTTGTAAATTGTGCGTGACGGATGCTAACGTGGATCTCGTCCTGGCGACGCCCCCGCGAGGGCGTATCGCCGCGTTGTGTGCGGGCTTGGCGCGGGACCTGTGCCGGCCCGAACGGCCCGTGGTGCGGGAGTTCGCGGTGAATTTGCTGCATTACTTGGCGGGAGCGGGCGGCGCCGCGGCCCGCGAGGTGGCTACGCACGCGCCCGCCGTGGCGCAGCTGGTCGCCTTTATCGAGAGGGCGGAGCAGACGGCTCTCGGCGTCGCTAACCAACACGGCGTGGCGGCGCTCCGAGACAACCCTGACGCCATGGGTACGTCCCTGGACATGTTGAGGCGAGCGGCCGCCACGCTGCTGCGTCTGGCGGAGCACCCCGAAAACAGGCCGCTGATCCGCCGCCACGAGAGGAGACTGCTGTCGCTGGTGATGAGCCAGATCTTAGACCAGAAGGTCGCACACGAGCTGGCCGGGGTGCTGTACCACTGCAGCCAACAAAAGTGTGACGAACCGCAGGAAGAGTGAGTGAACAGTGCCGTGAGTGAGAGGCGAGCGGCGGCGGGCGGCGGCGTACCGATGGGTACGTGTACATATAGCGATAGCGCCCCGCCCGCCCTGCGCGCCGAGCGTGTACAATCTGAATTTCGTTATTTATGTCCACGATGATTTATTTACAAGAATGTCAATGTGCTATAATCGATTTCTATTGTTCGATTGAAAAACAGATGTATTATAACTCGTAATTTTGATTTTTATAATAAAATGGGACTTGAATCTGTTGATTGGTTTTATGATGGAGATTTTATACCGAATACCTCTAGAGTAGGTTTGGAGCGAGGAGCTTATGTGGGCGATAAGTTTTAGTTAAGTTTAATGTGAATTATTACAATAATCTATAATATATTGAAATTGAATCTGATTTTATTTTCTTTTCGAATTGGCTCTTGATTCCATACAACACCTAGTATTCAAATATTACGCATTATTTCTTTAAAAAATGCAAAAAACACATGCTTTTATTTTGTAATCTATTCAAATATTTCAACAATATAGCAATTGGCATTTGGAGACACTTTTTAATATAAGATTTCTGGTTTAACAATAAATTTTACACATCCATACTGCAACAGGTATCACTTGAAGTTGTATTCACTTATTGTATACCATTGTTTTAACATTAAATTATAATCTATATTAATCTTGGTAGAACTTTAGTAATGACTGCATAGAAATCTGGCAGTTATGGTTTCTTTGAAATGTGACAGTTCTTTATTCAACTTTTTCAGTCATTTTATTTCTAGTAGTGTTTTTGGATAACAATTTTGCAAAATTCTAATTTATACATTTATTGTGATAAATTAATTTTTATTATCTAAATTCAAATGCCATCTATCCGAATAAAGTTATATGATGGAGTGTCAGTCAAGCGACAGTAAGAAATTATTTAAAGTTTTCGATGCAGCTAAACGCAAGAGGTCAAGAAAAAAGCATGAAACCTACGAAGATAGCAATTCGGTAGCGACCGACGAGTCTGTTGGAGTAAGTATGAGTTTGAGCAGAATCTGTCCTTTGAAGTTAATGTTAAACTATTTAAATAATATCAACGCGATGCCTTTGCAATCAACTTAAAATTAGCAAGGAAAACCTTCTATGAATATAGATATTGTAGTGTTATTAAAATTCAGGTATGTCACGGAAATGGTCGACGAGGTACCTCGACCAAGACTAGCTTGCAAGATATTCCCGCTAAAGCAATAAATCAGGAAGTAGCACCTACAAAAAGGTTATTAGTTTATGATACTAGTTTAATTAGGGAAGCTTTTTCACTAACTTCACTCCTTATAGGAGATTAAAAATACCTTCGAATTTTAAAATAAGATTCTTAAACTACATAGGAGTTATGACTTAGTAAATAAAGTATATTTTTATACTTTTACATTACCATGAGATAGGTGCTCCCAATTCTGTCTATTTTAATATTGTCACCTAAAAAAATTATAGCGAATATTGGTCACAGTACCGCTTTATATAATTGTTATGTATTTTGCTTTATGTCCCAAAAAAAATAACCAAAACATTCCGGCATATGACAGCAGTCCATCAGTATCGCAATCCCAAGTTGGAGATCGCCGGTCGCCAAGGTCGCCTCGAAGACAACGGAGATCCATGTAAGACGTTATGTGATAAATAAACATAGAGACGTAAAACTAAATATGGACTTAATAGGTAGGTTAAGAATTAAAAAGAAGTAGGTAAGTATTGTTATAAAGTATCTAGGTACTATTTCTATCGGAAACGAACTATGAGGACTGAATAGCTGTATGTTTAGTAATTGGAGCTGATTTGATATTAGTTTATATGTCTCAGCGAACTAGCGTAATTAGCCGTTCATAAAAATATTTCTTTTAAAATTAAATTGCTTGAGTCAAATTCACATTTTTATTGTCACTACATGAAATGAAACATCAAGTAGGTACAATGGAAGGGCCATTGTACCTACTTGATGTTTTTCATGAAACTTTGGAAAACACCATCAAAGTTGTGGTTCGCCGACGCCATATTGACAGTTTGAAGAGTTTCGATTCGAGTTTGAGGGTGGCAGAAAGTGGAATTAAATTAATTTTACAGTCAACACGCTAGGCAAGTAATGAAACGTCATCGATCCAAGTCATTTGCCTAGCTGTTTGATCAACTAGCTGAATATCTCTCAGGCCGTTAGTTTAACGGCGCTATTTGTTTAAAGTTTAAACGGCTAGGCTGTTAATTGAACGGCTAAATCAGCTGGTTGTCTGAGACATATATATCAGGTCATTAGACATGTTTATTGTTTATGGTGTTATTTCTTAGTAAAATTAGGGCAATTATCTAAATAATGATCATCGAAAAACGATTATGTTCTCAGTAAATGCACAAACTTGAGTAATGCGTTTTACGCTATTATGAATTACAATTTAGATAGAGGCTGGCTAATGAGGCGGCAAATTAAAAAAAATATCAGCATGGCAGCCCTAAAGTAAAATGGAAAGTTGGAACAACTCACTTTGATACTTTGACATTCATTTTTATTTTACTAGTGGATGCTTGCAATTTTGTCCGCGTTATGAGGAGATTAAAAGTAGCTTATATCACTTGTTAACTCTTTATTAACTCCATACCAAACATCACACGGATACGTCACTCCATTGTGGCGTATTAAAGGAACAAACAGGCTATCAAACACTATCATGAGTATCAATATTATCATGAGTTTTAATATTTGTAAATCTATCAAAGAAAACAACGCCATATACTTATACTGTTTTTTTATCACTATAATCAAAATCTGCATCTAAAAATTCAACATCGTTTTACTTCAGCAGTTCGTGCATTATCCTCAAGACTATCTGTAAAAGAACGATAACATTATCTAAAGTAACTAAAACCAATATTTAAAAAAAAAATATCAAGACATTTTGACCGTACTAACTTTAGTGTTGTCATATAAAAAGTTTGCAAAAAAATCCAGTATCTACTTTCGTTAGCCAGACTCTTTAATAGCCAGAATATAGTTCAACCAAACAATAAGCAATCATACCATTGCAACAAGCAAGTATACCAATTTGTAAGGTATATACATATATGTATATATACCCATGTCTTTTAATGATGAATGGTTAAGTATTGAACGAATATAGACGCTTTTTCAGGCGTGACGGAGTATCACTTGCCTTGAAAGCTGGACTTGTCTCAACTCCTCGATCGATGTCTCCGGCCCAGGTACATTTTAGTTTATAAATAATAATAATCTAATATTGATGAAAACTTCGACGGTGTTGGTAAAATCAGGTCGACCAGGAAGTTTGATATCTTGCTCTAATCCAGAGGCCTACTTTAGTATTTATGATCGCATTTAAACTGTATCTCTTATTCGTAATTTAAAATACATTTTATGCACATTTTTAGGATGCAGATGATGTCATCGATCCAATTCCTAAAGATCAAGATTCCTTTATTTATGCCTTTTTAGAAGAAGCCATCAAACGTGATAAGAAAAAGTGAGGTTTAATTTATTAAGTATTGCCTGCTTATTTGTTAATCTTTCTATAATATTAGATGTACTTGTTTACATATTTTACGACGGTTTACAGGTTAGACGCAAATCAAACAAGTACAAACAAATATTTTTGGGACTTTGTACGGCGTAATTCCTTTGTTTTTATTTACGAATCGTTACGAAGATAAGAGCCATACAATTTATTTATTTTTATTTATTTATTTAGTAGTTGGCTTCATTAAATATTCAACAACTGTATTTTTGAACATTTAAGAAATATCTCACTAACATAGATATATTAACACATTCGAATTCGAATAATAATATATAATATCTAATTTTAATCTTATCCGATATACCTATTGTATGTGATATTTGTAAGTTAACCAACCTACAGTACACAATTATTTATGTTCTCGTTGGCACCTTCCATAGTTGAAATATTAATTAATATCTCACGTTAAGAATTTTAAAAAAATCAGGCAGCGCCACTCCAAGAAGCATGAGCATCGTTGTAGTCGCGATAGAGACTGTTCAGCTTCGAGGGAACGCCATCATCATCATAAATATCGGGATGACTATAAAGGAAGGGAAAAGTAAGTAATTCATAACGCTATCGGTTGGTAATTGTGTATAAACAATGTGTTCGTATAGTCCAGAGAGAATATCACTAAAATACAAATGTTCTCGGCGCTGTCTCGTGCATTAGACTTTTATGCGTTTACTATCTATAATCTGTTAAATTATATAATGCGCAATCATTATAGAAAGTTAATTTGCAAGGTATTATTTATTTCAGAGTTAAAGAAAAACCTCACGCACCGCCCGTCGATCAAGGTGCTCTTCTTGAGACATTCGCCAAACTGTGTGCTCAAATGTCTGAAAAGACGAAGGCGAATTACGATAGCAAGCAAATAGTACGTAACAATACTTACCTTATGTTCTATGTTGACCCCAGCATATGCCTAAATACGTTATATGCTATTAAAAAAATGCGTAACATTTACAACAGCTATAACTTCATCATTAATTTTCGAAATGCAGGCCCGAACACAAAGTCATAAATCACTTCAATGTGAAGTGGTTTCACGAAAAGATTCATACAATGTTGACCATCATCGGCCAGTGCGACTCAGCCGCGAGCAATCCAGAGATGTCTCACCTGCCTACACTCGAAGCTATGAAAAATTCCGCCCTAAAGGTCAAAGCCGTGAAAATATCCCCACAGATCGTAAAGATAGATGTGTTTGCTGTGTCAAAGACAAAGAACGCTATTCAAGTAAACTTGACGTTAGCAGGAAAATTAACGATGAATATCCGCCTGAGCGGGTGCAAACTAGAATATTTGATGATGAATATTACAAATCACGGCGTAGAGATTACAAAGATTACGAAGAAAGGGACAGAGATACGGGATCCCGTTATTACGAGGACAGGAAACGTTATTGCGAACAAAAAACCAGTAGAAGTTTTGAAGTACAAAATGTTCACGACGATGATAAGTATAGGCGTTCTGTTAGAAGTGAAGGAGTAAAGGATAAAGATTACGATGACTTTAAAAGGAGATTCAATGAACGACAGATTAAAGACAGATACTATGATGAAAGAGAGAGGAGTTTCTCTCATGTTCCTAAGGAAAGACGTTCGAGACGGAATATAGAAAGATTTGATAGGAGTTCTATTGCGTCAAAAGATGAGAATTACAAGGACCGAGAGAGGTATTCGGAGAGAGAAAGAGATTGCCTAAGTGTGGCGGATGGCGAGACTAGTACAATAAGTGGAAGGAGTAATTATTTGAAAGTTGTCAAGGTATCTTGTTTTTTTATTAAACCTAGTTACCTAAGAAGTCCGTATTACGAAGAGATTTTGAAATTTAAGGTTAAACTCCTTCCGTTTTCTTTTAGCAAGAGATATCAGAACAAAGGGAGGCGATGGACAAAATGATGCGACTATGGAAAGAGCTGATGCGGTGCTTCAAAGGCGCTTCACAAACACCATGTCGTGACAAAGACCAGGTAAATTATTTAAAGTGGTGAGTTTTAAATTTATAACGTATCAGTATGAATACTAATTAAAACAGATTAAGCCTAGATTTTTACTTAACTATTCTATACTACATTAAAACCAGAGTCTATTCAAACAAAAAAATAAAGGTATATATAAAAAAATCTAATTAGGCCGGCAACGCACTCGTGAGCCCTCTGGTATTAAGATTGGTCATGGGCGACGGTATCACTTAACATCAGGTAAGTCTCATGCCAGTTTGCCCCGTTATAAAGAAATTGCTTCGACGACGTTTGAAGCGATATATTTTATTTCAAGTAAAATGCAACAAAAATTTATTCAGATAATCCTTTTGGTTTTTAGAAATTTTGTATGTTATCGTTTTTATCTGTTGGAAATTAAGTATAAGAGCTGATTTACACAGGGTCAGTAACTGACTACAAATTCGAGACAAGTCAGTGCTGACCCGAAAAAAACCCTGTGTAAACTGATTTGAAGTCAGTACAGGGGCCTACCAAACCTACGAGCCTATTGACAACCTACAACTGAATACGCTAATTCGTACCATGACATCGAAAAAACGAGACAGTTTATGTTCCCACGTGACCTTAGCGGTTATCAGATTTCGTTCGTTCAATTTGTATGAAAGTCCGTACCATGACCGCTCGGCTGAACCGAAATTTGAAGTCCGCCTTCCACTATGACAGAATAAGCGATTCTAAAAAAGTTACTTTTTGTTCAACTTTTTTGTATCGAAATGTCCAAATAATAGTTTAGAACCTTAAAATTCAATATTTGTATTAAAACTTGTTAATAAAGTTAAAATAATAAGATTTATCTATATGGCTAATATAGGAAAAAAATATAATTTTTATATTTACGATATTTTGAGTTAGAGTGTGATTACAAAAATATAATATAGGAGATGAGAAACAAGACGCAATGCCCTTCCACTACAGACTTCGTAGATATTGAGTTTATAATTTACTATAGATTATTGACTTTCATTCATTGAAGATTTCATGTACCTACAAATAATTGTACATTTTCAATTAATTTTATGCATGTCTAACAAAAACATGATCCCTAATTAATAATATATTTTACAATAAATAAGAATGCCATAGTACTAGCAGATATTTATTATAATTAAATTTTTCCTCACTATGTTCATGAATTGTATTATTCTCCTCTGCTTTTTGTTGTTTAAAAAACATAGGTATTTTTAAATTTATAATGTGTAAAAATAAGCCATTTAAAAATATTATAATAACAGTATTTATTTAGTTATGATGACTCCGTCAAGATAAAAAAGGTGTCTTCAGGCAATGTTCAATTGGATATAAACATTTATTCATATAGACTCTCAATTTAGCGATTTTGTCAGGTTAAGCTGTAAAGAAAATTATTATTATTATTATAGCCTCTTTATTTCCATAATGAATAAATATTAAAAATATATATGATTAATTATTACATAATTATGTTAAAAATACAATATTATTATTTATAATCTTTAAATTATATCCCAATCATAATTAATAATTTCAAAGTTTGAAATGATAAATAAATTAATAAGAATCAAAAACAAAATTCATTTTTATAAATCATTATAAAGTATATTAAATCTTATGGACCCCTCTACGGTAAAGGCCTCCTCCATTTTGCTCCAATCTGTCTGTCTTTTGCTTTGGTGGTCCAGTTTTCACCAGCTTTTCTTTTTCTTTTTATTTCATCAATCAGTTTTACTTTGGTCTACCTCTATCTGTTGGTTCTGCAGGTTACCCTTGGTGTCAATTTTTCCTTGTCCATGCGAGCAGTAAGGCCCGCCCAATTACATTTTTGTCTAAAGCGTCTATTATTTTTGTTGTTTTCCTTATTTCTGTATTTCTCTTCGATTTGTCTTTGTATGTTTTTAGACTCCTTTCCATCGTTCTCTGGCACACTTGTATTTTGTTTTTGGTGTAGTTCATAAAATCCATTCTGGAAGCCATATGTAAGACAAGGTATTAAATATGAGTCCATAATTTTTTTCTTAAGTTTTATAATTCTGATTTAAGGGTTTCTTTATTGCTCCAGGATTTATTCCAGGTTATGTTGACTCGTCTTTTAACCTAATCGTCTGTCTTTTCTTTGAGAAAGATACTTGTTGACCCAGGTAAACATAGTTTTAAACATATTGTAATGTACTGTTATTAACCTTTATTGGAATAGTTTGGTGGTTCGTCATAATATAATCTTTCATTTGATAAAAAGATTTTGCATTGTAAGTGCATACATCGAAGTTTTGTAGTGGAGATGGAAGGTTGTAATCATTATCCCCCGCGGTGACCAGCCGTATTGGGAGATGAAGAGGGGCTTTCCTGTAAAGAAAGTATAATTATTTATATTTATGAATTATTGACTATAAATTGAGTTTGTACAATTTGAAGGAATTATTTTTATTATAGTTACTTATGATTTTAGAGTAATAAGTTGATTTGTAATATCTTTTGCAAAGGGTTTTATATCATAATTCACTTCGTTATAGGTATTTTTTTTAATAAACAAATTTGTGAACAATACTTACCCCATACCATTATTTTATAAGTTAAACAATTTGTAAATATATTTATAAAACCGAAATTTTGTAAACACAAAATATTGAAAGCTCTATCAAATTTGAAAGAAAGTTTAAAAATAATAAGTGTCAACTGTCATAGCACCAGAGAACTTTCCGTTTATAGTCTATCGACAATTGAAAATGAAAAATAGAATACTGCTCTTAAAATTATGTCGATACTCATTCAAAATACTAGAAAAATGTGCTAAAAGGTTATTAGCACATAAAAAATTGCAAAAGTTATAGACCATTAAAGATGAAAAAAATGGAATTTAGTTTTTGCCAATATTTAATAAACTATTAATATTTAAGAAATTTCAAATAAAGATTCTGAAAGAGGAGGAAATTTCCAATAAAAAATCTCAGCTCCGAATTATTATTTATAACTTTAATTTAACCTGAAAATAGGTCTTTGACATTTTAGATTCGGTGGCGTCAAAAGCACTACAATTAATTAATTTATTTAAGGTATTGAATATTTTTTTAAATTTGAAAAAAATTATGGTGTGTTCTGAACATATAATTAATTTATTCCGTTGAAATTTTACTTAAAGTTAATTTTTCAACAAGTTAAATAATTTTAACTAAGAATTTTCTCGAAACGTTTAATTTAAGTGAAAAAATTTTTAATAATGGTCGTAAAAATATTTCCTTGTAGAGCTTTCTACATAATATTAACAAGATCGTCCATAAAAGTTAAAAAATATTTATACTTTGTTTATAACAATTTTTTATTAAACAAAAACTTAAAAATCCAAGTAATGTTGTTAAAAAATTTTTTTTTCTAAATCATAAATTATGTTTTATTAATACAAGATATTTATTGATTTGCAAAAAAAAATTTCCGCCATTGTTAATAATTTTTTTAAACAAATTGATTAAATCAATTGTTTTAAAAAAAAATTTCAACTTTATTAATTACAAATATTATGATTGTTTAAAAAAAAAATTTTTAATAACATATTTTAATTGTTTATAATGTTTTTTATATTTCTTTTGTTTAAATAATTATAAGAAATTAAAAATATTAAATCTTAAATAAAGAAAAAATTTTTTAATCAAAATTTATTTTTAAATACAATTTTATAAACAATGTTCAACTTTTTATATTTTTTTCTAAAATTCTAAAATTAAAAAAAATATATAAAAATTATAAAAAAAAAAAAAAATTTTTAATAAAAATTTATATAATCAAAAATTTAAAAAATGTTTTTCTATTTTTTTATATATGGTTGTTTTTGTTAATTTTAAAGTTTTAGAAAAAAATATAAAAAGTTGACATTTGTTTATAACAAATGTAAGTTAATAAACAATAGAATTGGATTAAAAAAATTTTTTCTGTTACTTTATAGAGGATTGTGAATTATGATTTTTAAAAAAAAAATTTTTAATAATTATTTAAAAAAAGAAATATAAAAAAAATTATAAAATTAAAATTGTTATTAAAAATTTTTTTTTAAACATCATAATATTTTAATTAATAAAGTTAGAAATTTTTTTTTAAAAAATTGATTTAATCAATTTTTTAAAAAAATTATTAACAAATCGGGAAATTTTTTTGCAATCAATAAATTCTTGTATTATATAAAAACGATAATTTGATGATTTAGAAAAAAAAATTTTTTAAAACATTACTTGGATTTTTAAGTTTTTGTTTAAGTAAAAAATTGTTATAAACAAAGTATAAATATTTTTTAATTTTATGCACATCTTGTTAAGTATGTATGTAAGAAAGCTCTACAAAAATATTTTTACACCATTATTAAAAATTTTTTTCACTTACAATTAAGAGGTCGTTCAAAAATTTCGTTATTAAAATTATTTAACTTGTTGAAAAATTAACTTTAAGTAAAATTTCCAACGGAATAAATTAATTATAGTGTTCAGAACACACCATAATTTTTCAAATTTAAAAAAATATTCAATACTAAATAAATTAATTAATTCCTAGTCGCTTTTACCCAATCCTAAAAATGTCACGCACAGACCTATTTTCAGCGTTAAATTAAAGTTATAAATAATGGAGATAGAGTTCCGATGAGAGTTTTTATTGAAATTTCCTCCTCTTTAGAATCTTTATTTGAAATTTCTTAAATATTAATAGTTTATTAAATATTGGCAAAAATAAATTCATTTTTTTTATCTTTAATGGTCTATAATTTGCAATTTTTTATGTGCTAATAACCTTTTAGCACATTTTTCTAGGCGTATTCGGTTCGAATGAGCTATCCACATAATTTTAAGAGAGTATCTCTATTTTGTTCCATTTTCAACTTTCGACTAGACTATTAAAATATATCAAAAGAATAGTTTTATAAAATAATATATATATTAATTAGCTTATTGTGATTGATGAATTATTTAAAATAATTTTATATTTTATTTATTTTCATAAAAATCTGTCGAAGTAAGTTTGATAGTTAAATTTCTAAACGTATCAGAAACACAAACAAAATTATCGTTCTTCATTCGGTCTTGCGATGCTAATACGTTTCGCTATAGGCGGTCATGGTACGAAAACTTTGACTTTAGGTACCTAAACTCCCTCTAATGATTGTTTTAAGAAAGTTCATGGTAGGCCCCCAGTGGCTTGAAGTCAGCGCTGACTTGAATATTCGGACACGAATATTTTAAAGTCAGTTGGCGCCCCCCGCCACCCGCACCCCCGCGCCAGCCAAATAAACCCCGTGTAAACAGACAAGTCAGTGCGTGGTTAGTCACTGCCGCTGCGTTGTAGAGTGACCACGTTTTTTTCGCTGGCGATAAAAATGAAGCTTAGCGAAGACGAAACCTTAAAATTGGTGCAATTATATGGCCAGTTTGTACTCCGCAGGATCTTCAAATCGCAATTGCTTCAGCGACAAAGCAGAGCCACCAGTTTCGTTTCTATCGTCAATCCATTTTCTTACCCATTGTCGTTTATTTTTAGTTATCTCATTTTCTACCATTTCTATTAACTCATTCAACAGCAAAATTGATAAATTTTTCAACAAATAATTAAATCGTCGTTTTAGTTGTTTTCGCGAATTCATTTTTCCCACTGACTTCACACACGTGTGGTCATCGTGAGAAACGCACCACTACTATTTACCTTATGTAAACAGTTAAAGTCAGTCGCGGCGACGACATTGGCGCTGACTTGTCTACTGACCCTGTGTATTTACACAGCCTTAAAGAAATAATGATTACAGCAAGAGTCAGCTGAAAACATGCAAGAATCTGCAGCAGCCCAACTTCGTCTATGGCGGGAATGTATGCGGCGGTACGAGACTGTCGCGAGGGATGTAGGGGACACGGATGCCCGGCTTATGGTAAGATATTTTGTGGTATTGAATCAGTGGTGTAACAATAGGGTGGCAGGACTTTAAAAATGCCATGGGCCTCCGACCCAAGAGGGCCCCTGCCCAAGAGATATTATATTCTATGGATGAATGTGAAGACTTCCATACGCATTGGGCTAGCGTGGGGACTACAGACCATTCCCTTTCGCTTAAGAGAGGAGGCCATTAGTGGGACATACAACGTGTAATTGAGTACGCTGAAAATCTAGAAGTTTATTAAAATTAAACTGAGTACCACCTGACGATTTTTACTGATAGGGCCCCATCAAAAAGAATTTGCCACGGGCCCCAGATGGTATGTTACGCCACTGTATAGAATGTATTTTAATATAATATTTACATAAGTGATGTAATTGAAAAGTGGTAATCAACTTATTATTGCTCGAGATACATATTTAAATATCAAAAGCTTAAGGGTCATTTTAATGCTATTTTGCTCACAATAATTCATTACGTGACTAGGCTAACTAGCTAGGTGTGCGGAACGAAAATGTATTACTCGCAAGTTGTTTTGCTATTTATTAGTGTTTTACTAGACAAAACAAGTCGAAATGATTAAATTAAATTGCAATTTCCCTTAAATCTGTTAGGTTAGTAAAGTAACATCAAAAAAATACAAATGGACAAAACTGAAATTATTTAAATTCATTTACTTTTTGTAATTTATTAGTTAAGGTCAATTTTCATATTTTTCCTTCCTGGAACCGATTGCTTTTTACGGATCACACTAGTTTCAGTTTTTTTGTGATTGTGTGCGTTTAAAGAATTAATAAGTAATTATAGTTTAATATAAGCTACCATTTACCAGGAGGAAATAAACAAGCAGAGATCTGAAATGTCCGAGATGGCCAGTATGTGGCAGGAATGTCTTCAGCGATACCGAGACATGAGCAACGACTTTAACAGTCTCAAACAGCAGGTATTAAATTATGTACTACAATATTGACTTCTTCAATAACACCGTGTCTTAGTTTTTGTCTGGTTTTGTTATAAAATTAAACAAAATTCCTTAGAACATGATGAGATCTACATTTTTTTTCCAAAATATCGTTTGCTTATAATAATATCACGTGTTCTTTGTGAACTCCAGACTTCAGATTGTTTAATTATCTAGCGTCAAGAAGAATCCCATCTCCCATCATTATTGTGTAACTATAAATGCGGAATTGCAGCCAAAATTAAGAAAAAAAAACAACAAAAAGTAATCTTTTGCGCTAAAGTGATCTTAATTCAAGTGCCTTAGAACGAAAAGTGATTTTTATTTATTTAAACAATATTGTTGCGTTTCACGACTGTCAGATAGCGCTATTCGTCACATAAAGTCCATCATAAGAGTCCGATGAATGTCAAATAGCACAATTTATCTTCCACATAATTTATCTGTTGAATAGCTATTTGGTACTTTATCCATACATTGTGAAACAGACCCTTAGTATCATTATTTATTATATATCTCACTGAACAAACTAAGACTCACTGAGTGCCCGTTGATATACGTTTACGTTATAGGCCATTTCGAGACTATTGGCTATGGTGTAGAGGACACATTCAATCCCTAAAATATCCCTAGGCGGTGGGTGTCGTATTATTTTTGTTATTAAAACCTTTTGAATTTCAGTTGGCAACATCGGAAAGTCCCACTAGAGCCCCTCCAGCTCCTGTTGTGTGCGCCGAGGGCGAAGGAATTCCACCCGCGGCGCCCTACCGACTTCCGCCCACTGGATATATACCACCGGTTAGTTAACCGCAACTGCGAGCTGTCTACATCTCTTGAGCCAAATCATCTCACCAAAGTATTGTACAGTATTATATATTGTACAGTTTCATAAATATCATCTTTATCTGACGAAAAATTAATAGAAAACTGTGATTGTGTAACCTAAAACAAATAGCTAATTATTTTACATGAAAATATAAATTAAAATTAATTTCCTAATATGCAACACAAATCATTATTTTATGTATATAAACGCGTTTCAGATGCCCCCCATGCCCCCATACATGAACGGATCGCCTCTTCGCCCGCGTGCCTCCGCTCCCCCTGCTTGGTGGTGGGGCGAAGGCCCGCAGCCTGCACGCCGGCGCTCTTCTCCCGACTCTTGTGCATCCAGGGAACGTCGTCACCATCACAAAGAGCGAGAGAGGGGTAAGCAAAGTAATTCTTCTTCTTTAATTTATCGACTATGGTGTTTTAGAAAGATTAATTCATAACAAAAATTTTCGCCAACAATACACAAGATCTTTTTTAATTTTTCAACATTGTTTTCCTTAATAATTCAAAACATAGTAAATATTATATTGTATAGATCACACAAAATAATATCAACTTGGAAATATGCATGAAATTTTTATTTTTTTTAAATATGAATTTAATTTTAGACTCCACCCGGTACAAAGAAAAATCTAAACCAAGTGGCGCGCGGTCAGAGCATCGTCATCGCAAGAGATAATTTAAAAGAGCCGGTTACTATATTTTTACCAAATACTCCGACTATACAACGAACCGAACGTAAACCAATATAAGAAGACAATCCAACATAGGAACCATTTTAAAGTCTTACAATTAATTGACAATTGACATTAATAAATATTGTTTCACATATTTATTTTTTATTTAAAACTAAGCAGTAAAAGAGTTAAATTTTATAATGTTCGCAAACATTTTTTTTCAGTTTAGCCACATTTTGTAAACACGTTATTCTTATATAAATTCGATTTGTATAATAATTTTATATAATTTGTAAATTTAGTATAAAAATACATAAATTAAAATCGTTTCAATTGTTTTATTATACAAATTATACGTTCTTGCCCTATAATCCTGATCCTGGCCCTTTATCTGACGTATACATATGTATAGACATCTGGAAGCTTGTAGCTAATAAAGCTAAAGCCTCATGTTTATTAGGTACTGTGGAGAGATACTGAGTGAACTGTTTCTCCAACCGAAATGGTGGATCACCATCCGGTCTAACCACTGACTAGCCGGCCTGAAGGCCCCAGTGGCTAAGGTCCTGAAGTTGTGTGTGTATATCCTTAGCGGCCAATCAGTTACAAAGTATAAGAAATATTGCCAACTCTTTAACACCTAAAATGAGAAGAAAAAAAAATATTATGTAAGTAATTAATCACTAATTATTTTAAGGTAGGTTCCACATTTACAAAACAATTTCAAAATTCAACATACTTGTAACAAGTTCGTTAAAGGAAATTTTTAAAAGAAATATGCCAGTAATACTTAAAACCAAAGCCATGTCAAGCTGTCTCTTGCCATGTCTAACATATGCTTGCCGGACTTGGAAATATACAGAGAAAAATCAGAACTGACAAAGGGGCCTCGAACGGAGCATGCTCATTAGAAAAATTAATAAAATAAGACACACAAAGATAAGAAGCGTTACTGAAGCTACTGATACCCTAAATTATAATCTTAAATGGAGATGGGCAGGGCAAGACTGTCAGACGATCGATGAAACATTAGGACGACCCGGTGGGGATGCCCTATTGGGAAAAGAGACAGAGGAAGACCGCTCACGAGTTAGGCGGATGACATTACTAAAACGGCTGGCATGAGCTGGATGCAACTCTCTCAAGACAGAGATACCTGGAGAGCCTTGGACGAGGCCTTCACCCGCGGAAAGGTTCTTGCAAAGTATAATAGGATTAAGATTACTTTAAAAAAAACAAAGTAATCTTAATCCTATTGTGCTAGTTGTGCTTTTTTATTTTTTCATTATTTATTATAAACCACATTAAGATACTACATTTGCGATTAAAAAGAGTCCGTTCTACATATACCCTTCATTTCAAAACTGGCAGTAAAGTTAAAATTCACTTATAATTATATTATAATAGGGTATAATTTACCTACATAAATAATAATAAAATAATATAATAAAAATTATTTATCGGATCGTTGTCTTTCCGTACTGGAGAAAACTAGTGTCTGAAATTGAAACTGCTACGTGGTATTTCGGTCTGGGGACGACTAAATCCAGTCCAAATTAACTTAAGAAGGCACGAGTTTGCGAGTTTTCCGCTAAAAAACACCCTTTGTCGCTATTCTTCTCTTCATTCATATCAATTCTACTAGGGTTCTTCAAAAAAGCGTTCCCATTCTTAATAGGGCGGAAACGCACACGCGAACCCACTGGTATTAAGTGTCTTGGTATCACTTAACATCGAGTGAGCCTCCTGCCCTACACTCTATAAAAAACTGCTTTCCCTTTAGTAACATAGTACCATTAATTCCTGCAATTGATTAGCTCGGTAGTGCCAATATCGAATTGCGATTAGTGTTCTACTCGTTTTTGCATTTCATAATCATAACTCCTTATTTTCTTCTTCTTAATATAGGTTAGATTCGTTAGCTTACAAAACCTTCCTTTTTACTAACCTAATGCAAATGTTTGCAAGTTCATGTCATAGTAGTGTAAGTAGTAAAGGTTCAATGTCAAGGACCCATAAGTGCTTGGATCATAATACGATAGAACCTTGATTTGTTGCCAAGGGGAACGGAAATTAGTAAAAACAAATAGGTCTTCCTTGGATAGAATTTCCAGATTTTGGATTAGATTTTGTCATGGGATGTAAGTGAAAGCTGTTTAGAACTTTAAAAAAATGGGTACAGAGACGTTTATTATACTATACTTTATATATCCTTCAGTATCTGCGAAATATATTTATTGATTCACATAGATTTTAACTTATGTAACTTAAAAATTTGAAGTAAAGGGAATGAAAAAGATAAGTAATTTATAATATTTTATTAAAATCTTCAACTGACATTTTATTACAATAACCGTATAAATTTGTCGTTTTATCAAGAAAATGACAAAATAGTACAATTTTTTGGATGTGAAGAGACTAAGGATAATTAAAATCGCAAATTCAACGCTTATTCTGACAGAATCTGTTATGATATATTTCTTTGTTTGGTTTTCGTAATGAAATTACAATCAAAAGGTTAGAAGGCATATAAACTGTACACGACGAACTTCTAGCTAGCGTACTTTAGCGTTGAATTTGAAATTTCAATTTGTGTATAAAATTTTATTAGTCATTCAGTATGCCCAAAGCTGGTCGGGCATGAAGACTTGAGATTGAAATTATATTTTACAACAGGCTTAAATATAACACGAATATTAATAACAAAAAGACGCACACAATTTGGTACTTATGATAAATATCTCGACTTATTTAAAAGTTACACATGAAATCCTTCGATTTGGAAACATTTAAATATACTTGACATAGAAAGTGAAGTGTAAAGGAAATGTGCAAAATAATATTTTTAATTTAGGATTTTCTATTTAAATAAGTGGTTCCTGTCAATGCCTTTTAAGTGTCGTATAGATGGTAATATATTACGAGATATCTCACACTGGTGCTACAGAAAACTATCTCAAATCAACGTACAACATTTTAACTAATGGGTCTTAAATCTGTAATTTGAGATTTGTCGTTTGTATTATAATTATAAGTAGGATCCGATTCGCAAAAAACATCTATTTAGTACTGGCCTGTCGGAGTAAGATTGTCTAGTTGATCCTGGACCTGGTGTTGAATGACCGCTCTAGTCTTAGTATCTTGGTCAAGGAGTTTCAACCTACTCAATGGCATTTGATGAACAAAGCCATAGTGTGAGTTTAACAATTCACGACTTTTCTGCTTTACGCGCTAACAGTGCATGTGTGGAATCATACTTAGAAGTTCTTTCACGCCATCAGCTTGAGCACCCATATTAAAAATGATCGGTAAGATATAAAAAAATACGTTATAATTTTTATGTCAAATATTTGATTTTTAAACGGACTAGATTATACAAAAATAAAAGATGATAAAAGGAAATATTTTTTTTAAGAAATACAATTTAATATCAAGATTAAGATTAGATATTAAATTCGAAGAAGCATCTTCAAGATGAATAAATTTGTATTGGGAAGGATTACAAAGGCACATATCCAATTCATTTAATATTCATTTTATTATAATTGTTAAGGCTGTAGTCTCGGATCCATCGATGGCCATACATATTAGCCTCAAATTTCGTGTAACAATCTTATAAGACCTGATGTTTTCGGTAAGTCTTCAGCGTACCCCAGGACTCATATATTTAAGAACTTTTTTTGTAAAAGTCCGATGGATTACAAGGGCATTTTTACTTAAAACCGAGCACCTAGCTACATTTTTGACTTACAAGTTTTATTTTCAAGGTAACTTATTTGTCTACCGACTTCGGTGTTGACTTTATATATACAAGAGGATACAAACTAAACTTAAAGTAAACTATTTAATAAATAAAGATCATAATTAGCCACGTTTCACTTTGCTTTGTCTTCTGTGACGTCAGCACCGTTTTGGGATCAGTAAACCTGGAAACAAAGTTATATTAGACATATGTACATAGAAAATGTAATGAAGTTGTCAATGTTGTCTCAACCATATAAATGCTTTTTAAAGTTAGATTTTAGAAGTAAAGTGCTCTTTCGTGTATTTCTCTGTGGTTAAGTTGTGATGAAAATGTTAAAAGATTTTATAAAATTAAAAGATTACCATTCTTTAATCATGCTATTGAGATCCCGACTTTCTCAACATGATAGTTGGTAATCCGATAGTAAGTTTTATTAAAAGTGTGATAGATGATAGTTTAAAAATTGTAGGATTAGCGTAACCTCATAAAATAACAAATGTTATACTAAACGAAGAGTTTTATTTCATTAAATTTGAAATAACAATAGAAATCAGCATTCCATTTTAAAGAACAAATCAAACATTAAAATATTTACTATTTTGTTTTATAAACAACAATTCGTTTACACCTTTTTTCTTTTAATCTATTTCTCCGTTAGGTTGAGATTTGTCCGGCCTTCGGCCTCGAAAAATCCGTTCCGAAGGCACAGAAGAAACTGGAATACAGAGATAGAGACGCTAATTCCTTAATTTATTGTTCGTGTATCTGTATTTAGAGGACACTTTCCGTCATTACTGGCTCTCCATATATTGCCTGACATCACAAAGAGACGTTAAAGGGATCGCTAATACTTGATAAACAATCGACGATGTTTTAAAAACTACATAGTCTACCATGTTTAGCGCACACGGATGTATAGAGAACATACATGAAATTGCTAACATGTGGGATGTCTATGGTATTGAAGTTTACAGAGCACCAGCGCCGGCTTTGCATTTAGTAGTCTCTATATAATAAATATTCTTTATTCGGAATGAGCTCTAAGTTGCAAATGAAATATCGTATAAATTTAATCGATTTGTAGAACCATGCAAATCGGATTCGATAAGGAAATAAATGTTTCAGTTTGGAAAACATCGAAGGCTGATCACCTGACTAGAGAAAATTCTCCCCGAAGGTCACGCGACTTCACAAAACAATGAGGTGAAAGTTTAAAATAAAAAGCGATCGAATAAACAATTGTGAAAATTTCACGCT